TACTTCGATCAGAATTCGATCAAACACCTGTCATTTGTGAAAATCGACTTAGGTCCAGGATTTTATTGCATGTATCTCGTAGAATTATGCTACTCTAGCAGCCCACAAAGCGGCTTTGCCGAGTGTGCCCCGGAACATTGTTTTTCAGCCTCTAGGGCACTTAACGGGGTGTATATGCGAAAAAAGTCATAATTTTTCAAAATCGAGTTAGGTCCAGGATTTTTTTCGATAAACCATGATTATTCATCATATTCTAACCACCCACCAAGCGGTTTGCCCCAATGACGTCCGGAAGGCCCCTATCCGTACTTCGATCAGAATTCGATCAAGCACCTGTCATTTGTGAAAATCGACTTAGGTCCAGGATTTTATTGCATGTATCTCGTAGAATTATGCTACTCTAGCTGCCACAAAGCGGCTTTGCCGAGTGTGCCCCGGAACATTGTTTTTCAGCCCCGAGGGTACTTAACGCGGTGTATATACGAAAAAAAATCATAATTTTTTAAAATCGAGTTAGGTCCAGGTTTTTTTTTCAATAAATCGTGATTATCCATCATATTTCAACCACCCACCAAGCGGTTTGCCCCAGTGACGTCCGGAAGGCCCCTATCCGTACTTCGATCAGAATTCGATCAAACACCTGTCATTTGTGAAAATCGACTTAGGTCCAGGATTTTATTGCATGTATCTCGTAGAATTATGCTACTCTAGCAGCCCACAAAGCGGTTTTGCCGAGTGGGCCCCGGAACATTGTTTTTCAGCCCCTAGGGCACTTAACGCGGTGTATATACGAAAAAAATCATAATTTTTCAAAATCGAGTTAGGTCCAGGATTTTTTCCGATAATTCGTGATTATTCATCATATTCTAACCACCCACCAAACTTAAATTTTATTATAATTTTATTTTGAGGTCATTAATTATGATTGATTGTTCGACCATTTTACTACTGTAATATAAATTCTTTGTAATTAAAAATTATTTTCTATTCTTTAGTTCGGTTAGTATCAATTAGTTTTTTGTGGACATGTGGTATTGAAATGTCTCAAGAATCATTCCATAATCTAATCATTTCATTTAAAGCGTCACTGTTGCATGGGTTTTTCGTCTGTTAACTTAGAGCAATCAAGTTCTTCAATCCGAATACATATTTGATTACTTGGCAACATTCGCAATGAACAAGGTGAGAATCTACTACCTTGAAAAAGTATCTCTCTTTGTTGTGCCGTACCGAGTGCCCAAACCAACAAGGAGTAAGTCCGAAATTGCACGCATGCGCAGATCGCACGCTCTATCCCTCTTACTCCCCTACAGAGGATCTATAAAACAATTTATCAATCCTGGCTGTCCTAATAAGGATTATATAAAACTTTTATCAAATTATCGCATTGTCATCGGTCCTCGATACGTATGCGAAGTTTCAAATTAATCAAACTTCTGGAAATTGGTGAAAATTATGCTCAACGATTCCGTGAAATACATACATACAGGCCAAGCTAATATAATAGCGTGTTAATAAAAAAATCATTAAATTCTTACCGTACACACTTATCCCATTCTGCACCATTTCAGACCAGTCTTTCTTGTTCAAAGCACACAAATTCGAAGACTGATCAGTGGGAACATAGGAAACATCGCTAATTTTCTTTAAATAGTCCGATCCTCGCCACTGATTTTGCAAAGTTTCGTTGATAATCAAACATGAGGCATCGTGTTCTTGTTTATCTACCAGCTTGTGACCAAACATGCCTAGGGCTTCGTATGCTATGCACTGAAAAAATAGGTCAATTAACGTATGCCCTAAAAGTTTTGGCACAAGGTCATTGGCTTTAATTTTAACAAATACAAAATAATATCAAGTTGCCTTTGGGAACAAAAGCTTGTTTACTTACTTTACAGTCAGTTGACATTTATTTGTTTTGCAGTTTTCGCTTTAAGATATCGTATAAATTAGAAATAAGAAAAAGCATCTACATGTTATTTGGACGGGTACCCAAAGGTGAAATCTGTCGAATATTCCAGAATGAAAACATACCACGCAGAACCATTTATCGAACGATAGCGGAATGCGAGCAGGGAATACCACGTGTGAATCTCCCAAAACTTGGAAGACCACGTGCATTTATTGCACAGAGATCAGAGAGATTGGTGAGAAAAGCAAAAAATCAGGTTGGAATGTCAACAAGGAGATTGACTCGTCAATATAGATCTTCTAAGAGCACGATATCGTTGGAATTGAGGAGGAATATTGAAAGACACTTAAGTGACCCAAATAGTCTCAATCGCAACTCCTTCGACTAAGTTGAGGCGGGACACTTCGCCAATGGAAAAATCGTTATTTTAGATGACAAAATTTTGGGATATCCTGTATTAAATTGGATCAATCGTTCACTGAGAAGCAGTTCTTTTCCTGAAAATTTGAAATGCTCTACAATAACACCAGTTTCCAAAATAAGAAATTCTAAAAGATGCAGCGATATGAGACCAGTAAATGTGTTACCAGACATTGAAAATTACTAGAGCCCATAGTGCATGACCAATATTAATGCAGTTTATAGAGGAACACAAAATTTTAGTGGAGGCGCAAGCAGGCTTTCGAAAAAAATGTTCCACAGAAACGGTTTTCCAATTGGTAACTGAGAATTGGAGAAGAGCCATAGACTCAGAAGAAGTTGTCATAGCAGTATTTTTGGATTTGAAGAGAGCATTTGAAACGGTTGATAGAGATATTTTGTTAGGTAAATTGAAGGCATATGGTATAACAGGAGGTGTTTTAGATTGGTTTAGAAATTATTTGTCTAAAAGGATGCAAGTTACAAAAGTTAATGACACTATGACATCAAAAATTGAAAATACGTTAGGTGTTCCACAGGGCAGTATCCTGGGACCACTTCTTTTTATTTTATACATAAATGATGTACCTGCCATAGTCAAAAAATGCAAAATTTAGATTTTCGCCGATGACACTATGATTTATATAAGTACTAAAAATATTCAGACTGATATCTCTTATATAAATGAAGACTTGAAACTTGTCTCAAAATGGTTAGCATCTAACAGACTCAAATTAAATACAAGTAAATCGAAAGCTATGTTAATCGGAAAAATGTACAAATGTTCAACTGAATATTGATGGTGAAGATATTGAATTCATAGAAAATTTTAAACACCTGGGGGTTTTTTGTTGACGCTCGATTAATTTTTGATATTCATTATGAAAAAGTTAAATAAGATTAGTAAAGTGGGATATTTATCAAGAATTCCTGGATATCTGAGTTCATATAGCAGAAAAATTATCTATAATACCGTCATTCTTACAAATTTCTTGTACTGTTCGGCTATTCTATATTTAGCAAATAATTCCATTTTTGAAAGACTGCAAATTTTACAAAACAAGTGCATGAGATTAATACTGAATAAAGATAAATATACTCCAATTAGACAAATGCTTAGCAAATTAAAATGGCTCAATGTAAAATTTTTTATCAAATATCTTGTAATGATATTTATTTATAAAGTAAAAAATAATATATTTCCATCAAGTCTAACTAATTTAACATCATCAAATGCCGACAATCATTTACATAATACCAGAAATAAAGATGACTTCCATTTAATGACCCCAAAGTATAACATATGCTACAAATCTGTATTCATCCAGAGATAAAAGACCAGAAAACTTTGACAAAATTTTAAAGTAAAATTGAGGAACCACTTGTTAAATCTGCAATTATAGCCTGCCCAGCATTTACATCATACATCATATGGCTTGAATTTACTAATTTTAAGTTGTTTACAAGTATTTCACAAATCTGTATTCATCCAGAGATAAAAGACCAGAAAACTTTGACAAAATTTTAAAGTAAAATTGAGGAACCACTTGTTAAATCTGCAATTATAGCTTGCCCAGCATTTACATCATACATCATATGGCTTGAATTTACTAATTTTAAGTTGTTTACAAGTATTTCACTTTGAGTGATTCTGAAATGAAGCGAAACGACGGTTTTTGTACAGACAACGTAAAGGTATGCCCAGACAATGTTAGATACAAACATAAAGCGAAATTTGCAGGTAAAATCCTTGTCTGGTGCGCAATTCCTAACAGGGGTGAATCCCAACCCTTTGTGGGAAGAGTAAGGGGTGAAGCTTTGAATAGGCAGAGCTATATTGATATCTGCCTTTCCAAATTGCTTCAGCTTGTCCACGAACATCATGTTTTGGCCAGACCTAGCATCATGCATTCAAGAGATACCGAAGACCTTAAATTGTACCCACATAAACTTCAAATAGTGCAGGGATTGAATTCGCAGGACCACCATCTACGTCGTGCGTTTGCCGAAATAATGTTAGAGCGTTTTCCAAGTTTGAACGATATTCTCTTTTCTGATTAAGCTCATCTTCATTTGCGTACCGATACTGGACCGCAGAAAGTTCCAAATTAAAACACCAAAGGCCTTTGCATTCGTGTTATGTTACAGTTTGGGCGGCCATCTCCTCGAAATCGAGCAAGGCTAGACTGTAACAGTAAATTGTAATCGCTAGACAGCAATGCTACGTAATCTTCTCTTTCCACAACTCCATAATTTTTAAGAATACCATAGCAGCACCTGGTTTAAAAAGATTGTGCGACATCCCATACCGCCAACGAGTCTTTAGCAGTTGTAAGCGTTTAGTGGAAAACTGATATCGCGACGAGGGGACATTGAGTGGACTCCCCACAGCCAAGATCTCACCCCTATGGATTTTTTCTCTGGGGATACCGCAAGAGGCGCGTTTGCGCCAATAAACAGACGACACATTTCCGAGATGTCCGCTATCCCACGAGCGATGTGCCAGCGAGTTTTCACGAATTTGAAGGCGAGATTCGAGGAGTGCGTATATCTCGATGTCTGACATCTCAGTGATGTTATTTTTTTAAATTAAAATTTCCATGTCTACTTTATTAAAAACGTAAATTACCTTCCCTAGTCATTGTAGTTTCCTCTACGATTTTCTAAAATCCACTCAATTTAATGGCCCACCCTGTAGTACATTTCATCCACCTACCTCTAGTATAAATGCTTCTAAGTCATCATTTCCACTGTTATTATACCTTGTTATTGACTTACACCATTCTGTTAAATCATGCGGACTGAACATATAGTGCTTTTTATTTGTTTGCAAGCGATCTTTCACCTGAAAAGGCAATATAATTGTTTTATTGCCGACATCATATTGTATCAAAATAAAGGGTTTTCCACTAAGGACTTGACAACTTTCTTTTTAAATGCAAACCATTTGAGATATCTCGAAAATATTATTATTGGATTAAAGTATACTCAAAACATTTATGTATGGAATTCGTCCTCGTCCATATGTCCATCTCGAGCACGTTCGCAGCGATCGATTCGTTGAACCCAATTTTCAATGACTCGGCCACACATTTCAACAGAAACCCCGTTCAATATTGGCTCTGAGCTCCTTTAACGACGCCGGTTTGTTGGTATAGACCAATGATTTAATGTAGCCTCACAAAAAAAGTCTAGAAGTGCTAAATCCCACGATCTAGGCGGCCATTCGACAGGACCATTTCTCGATAACACGCTCACCGAATTTTGATTTCCAGATGTCGATTGTTTCACCTGCTGTGTGGCTTGTGGCACCGTCTTGTTGGAACCACATATCATTAATGCCTAGCCCATCCAGTTGACCAAAAAGATAACGTTGCAACATGTCTCTGTAGCGATCGCCGTTGATTGTAACGTGAGGATTATTTTCATCAACGAAAAAAAAACGGCCCAATGACACCACCGGCATGTAAACCACACCATACAGTTATTTTTTGTAGATGAAGTGGTGTTTCTTTAAGCCGCTTAGCCAAAAATACACCACCTCACTGAAGAGGATTTTGCTATGAAATTGGTCATCTTCTTGCAAAATTTCTAGAGCCCAATTCGAGAACGTATGACGGTTCATGTGATCGAACGGCCTTAGTTCTTGAGTTAACTTGATCTTATAAGGATGCAGGCCAATATCTCTTCGCAAATTCGCCATAGTGTGGTCTGAACGATGCCCAATTCTTGAGAACGCCGTGGAATCGAGGTGTTCTGTTCCTTTGGGACGAAAGCTTGAACGGTAGCAATATTCTCGGCACTTCAACCCGTTGTCTAACTGGCACGGGAACATCCAGCAGCGAATATGTGGGCTCAATTTTTTTTGCTAGACCATGAATTGCTTGTCTACTGGGACGAGAATCACAACCAAAAATTGGCGCTAACGCTCTTAAAGTTGCAGTCACAGACTCGAATTTTGGTAGTAAATTTTAGTTATTTGTAGCGTTTTTCGTTCGTGTATTTCACCATGATGAAAATATTTTCTTTACTGAATGTTTTGACATTGACAGTTCGGTAATAGATTTAAAGTTGCGTTTACAGTGAAAGTTCAAAGATGTCAAGTCCCTATTGGAAAATCCGCACGGGTATCACGTATCTTGAAAAGTGAAGTTATGCTGTTTTTTTTTGACATTATGTAAGATTTAAACTTAGCACTTGGTTGTACGTGTTGCCTAAGCGTCATGAGGCTTGTTATCAATCTTTGGCTCTGATGTGATATAAAATCTGCTTCTGAGATGGCATTACTGGAGGTCTAAGCTGTAAGTTGTATGTGTCGATGATAATTATATTGAGTTCTTGTCTCAAATACACTTAATTTCTTATCCATTCTGGAAATGACATACACAAATTTGCTGAATTTAAAAAATGAGAGAGAGATAAGAAATAATCATATTCACTGTGCACTGTCCAATTGCAAGCCGTATTCATGCTAACAGTACAGTGGACCTCCGGTAATCCGACAAACATTATGGAGGGCAGTGTCGGACTATCGAATTTGTCGGATTATAGAGCACTGCCTAAGACCCCCTATAGTCCGGAATTTTTTACAAAAGAGTACCGTGTAATCCGGCAAATTACATATCCAATGGTAAGATTATATATGTATGCTATGTATATGTATGTACTTTGAAGTACAAATCATACATAGTTTATGTATGTCGAATTCAGTAAATTCAATAACAATAGAGAGCTTACGTTTTATCATAAAATTAAGCATAAATGCACATACATATGTACCAAAATAATCAAGAATTATTAATCAAAATCATTAATGAATTTATCAAATTATAAAGCTTGGAAATATTCATCAATTTTTTTTGTTTAAGATTGTTATAACGCGAGATCAGAGCTTTGTCCCTCAGTCTTCTCAAAAGTAAAAGTTCGTTGCAGGATGTACCATTCTCTTCAGCCCATTGTAAACTTAGCTCAAACGCGTTAATTGCGTCTTGTGCTGCGACTTGTGGAGCAGTTTCAATCACGTTATTGTTATTTTCCTGATTGTTGTATAATTAGAAACCTCTTTTATAATCTCTTCGTCAGACATTTCATGAAAAACATTGTCTTCTTTATCCATTCCACGGCACCAGATTTCCAAATCTTCCGGACTTATCTGTGTTTCAGTAGCGACTTTTTCTATAACTTCCGAAGTTACACTGATTTGTGGAACGTTGCTAGGAGTGGTGACTATATCTGGCCATAACTTTTTCCAAGACGATTTAATAGTTGATGACGGTAACGCATTCCACGACTGACAAAGAGCAAAAACCAAGTCTTTCATATTAAATTCTTTTAAAGTTTTTTCTACTGGTTGGTCTTTTGATACGGCTCTCAGAAGTAGGTTTTTCTTATAGTCTTGCTTGACAAACTGAATGATATTCTGGTCCATTGGTTGAATCAGTGCAGTGCAACTTGGCGGAAGAAACATCGCAGTGATGCATTTATCCTCAGTTGTTAGTTCTTCTTCAGACGGATGACCGGGAGCGTTATCAAGAAGCAACAACGCTTTTTGAGGAAAATTATGATCTTTTAACCATTTTCTAACTTCAGGTACGAAGCATTCATCAAACCACTTTGTGACAAGGTCTTTTGTCATCCATGCACTTTTTTGTCCGTAATAGAGTACAGGTAAATCAATGTTTTTGAATGCCCGTGGTTTATCAGATTTCCCAATGACCATCATCTTAAGCGCGTGTGTGCCCGCAGCGTTAGCACATGGAAGTATGGTTACACGCTCTTTACTCACTTTTCGTCCAGGTACGGATTTTTCGTTACAAGAAACGAAAGTTTTGTTAGGCATCACACGCCTAAAAAGCCCTGATTCGTCTGCATTGTACACCTGTGACGGGTCAAGATTTAAATCGTTGACCTTTTGCAAAAAAACTTAATTTAAAGGGCTCTATGCAGGTGGCATCGTTAGAAAGCTTCTCTCCTGTAATAGTCATTAAACGTATGCCATGACGACTTTTAAAACGTTCTAGCCATCCTTTACTGGCCACAAAATCATCTTTTTTTGTTATTTCCTTATAAAATAACTTAGCTTTCATGGCCCTGAAATTGGTGCATGCTTATTTCTTTCCTGAAGAAACCACATGTTCAAAGCTTCTTCCACTTCTGGATGGTCAGCTTTCTTGAGTGTCTGTCTCTTGCCTGGCCCGCAGTCAGTAGTTGACACGAGCTTCTTGATCTTCTCGTGGTTTATTTTAATGTAATAATTTGCATTGCATTCACTTGCTAAACTACTGAAAGTTTCATTGCGATTTAAGCGGTCTAAAATATCACATTTTCTTTAATTGTCAATGTTTTGTGCTATCGCTTCTGAGTTTGTGATGACATTACTAGGTACTATACTTAATACACAATGAATAAATAGTAAACAATGAACGCACGCTAGACCGTACCGCTATCTCAAGTATTCAAATTCAATTTAAGTAAAATAATGCTTACGCGTCGAGCACCATAGCGGTGGCGCGTACAAGTTGTAACCTGTTCAAACCTGCGTGATCTACATTAGCGAAAATTGTCAAATACGTATGTATGTAATATTCAAAGACATGTCGGATTACAGGGGGCGCCGGATTAGACAGGGGCCGAATTATCGGGGTCCACTGTAATTACACACAACGCGGGCGCGGTGATGATTTCCCGTAATTCTCCTCAGTTTTTCGTAATTTATCCTCTCTTCGAAAAGCACAACATAAAAATAACCCGTCGGGTACAGCCAATAGATATACTTCATTGGCAGCATATTCAGTAATGATTTTCTCACAGAGCAAATATCATTAATTTTATACACATGCAGACCAATACAAATAATCATCCAGATGCAGTCTTGCTATTCAACCAACTTTCTTCTCAGAGATAAAAACTACAGACACGGACCACTCAGCCTCACAAAACATATGCAACCACTAATGCGTATAGCTTAGTTGAATGATTCCTTCATAGATGGACGTTCACAACGATCCTGGTGAGCAAACATGGAATGACTGTTTGCGCCCTAAAAACTACCTAGTCTGCAAGTTGACACCTTATAGGTTTTTTTTTTGGCGTTTCATAGTTTTTTTTACATGATATCCGTGCCGATATTACGTAAAATAGGTATATGTATGAACTTATTACCTTTTCGCATATACTGATCATAGTTGTAGCTAATTTAACAGTTTTAGCTTTGGGAAAACTTTTCTTCGGAAAAGCAGATTTAAGTATAGCAGCTAAATACGAAGATATTATTATCGCAAAGTCTTCAGGTTCCGGTATACTAAAAATATTGTTTAATAATAATAAGTGGAATGGAAAAAAGTATATACTCGTATAGCCGTACTTACTTTACGTTAAAGATCCGTAAATTTGATGTGAATCTTTTAGATAGATTGTTGGTGATTGTAAGAGATCCCACTATTAAAAGGTTTTCTACTGATATAAATTCGACGTTTGTGTCATAAAATCCCTTGTAAACGATCAGCTGGAAAGAATACATGATATTTGGCTTTTAATGCATGGTTTCAAAGCTATAAATCGGAACGTTTGTAGTAAGATATCGCCTACCTGATTCAAAAATTCAACAAGAATATTACTATCCCACTTATCTGGTTTCAAAAGATGCAGATTTTTCAGATGCAGTATCAAGTTACCCTTTTTGGTTTCAGAACCTTTCCTTTATGAGTATTTACTTGAATACAATTCTATAAATCAGATAAAGATTATGAAATATCGCTTGTTGAATATTGTTTTATATGTTACCTCAAAGAGCTTTGTTATAACGCAGTTTGGACTTAAATGTGCAGTACAGTGTAAAATCACCATACTGCTGTCAGTCCTCTCATTAACCAAGGTTTGAAGCATCAAGCTGAAAAAACAAATCGGCATATACACATATCACAAAAGATTCAACATTTACTTAATATATCTTAAATTCTACCACGAGCTCTGTCTCAGTGAAGTTGGCCCAATGCCCCTAAAACATGATATCTGAGAATTTATATATACAGGGTGTCCGCAAAGTTGGGGTTTTCCTTTACACGACGTGTAGATCTTGAAAACATAACCAATTTTTCTTAGTACCATACACACCAATGTCTTAAGGGAACCGAGATAAAGGGCTCTGCAACATCAAAAATATCTTAATACCGTCCTGTAGCCGCGACCCGCGACATTACCGAGTGGTACAAGGTCACTGGCTCAAGCCGACGACAGAACTGGGTCGGGGTCAGTGTGTCAGGTCAGTATGCAACGGACGGTTACGGTCACGCGGGTAGAGGTAAACGAACCCGTATAATCGATTGCGTTTCAAAAAAAATAATAATGGCACACTCATATACCAATAATGTTGTTAATTTATGGCGAATGTCTTCAAAATGCTACAGAGGCTTCGCGAGTGTATGCAGATCGTTTCCCTAGACGACATCATCCAAGGCCCCGCAGATTTGTGTACCTGGTCCAGAGAGACAGGGATACGGGCCATTTGGAGGAATTTCGAATCTACGTTCACGTGTAATGGGGTGAATAACTTTCGCAACACTCATGTTTGGTCAGTAGAAAATCCGCACGCTGTCCGTCGGGCACATTTTCAACAAACATTTTCGGTGAAAGTTTGGGCTGGCATGGTGAACGGTATGCTCATTGGACCATTTATTCTCTCAAATCGATTGGACGGGATGCAATACCTAGACTTTTTACGCAACATTTTGCCTTCCTTGTTAGAAGATGTGCCATTACGTGTAAGACAATCAACGTGGTTTCTGCACGATGGTGCACCGCCCCATTTTAGACGAGAAGTGCGTGAGTTTTTGAATGAATTATTTCCAAATAGGTGGATCGGACGTAATGGACCCGTAGCGTGGCCTCCGCGATCTCCAGACTTAACACCATGTGATTTTTTTCTTTGGGGAGAAATGAAACGCTTAGTGTACAAAACTGAAGTGCATACGGTTGACGAACTTCGTCTCAGAATTGAACAAGCTGGTGCTTTCATTCGGGGGAGGGACTCCATTCTCAAAGCCTGCACCGATGCTTGGCGTAGTTTTAATAGTTGGGCCAACTTTACTGCATGCAACATTCAGTTGTGATATAGATTTTTTATGCTTACGTTTTAGCAGATCCATGCTGCCCGACAATCAAAAAATGTCTGTTGTTGGATATCCAAACTCTCATTGTATCTAGATACTGACTCACTTGTCCTGTGTAGATCAAAGGCAACCCATTGGATATGTCATCAATAGTTATATTGGGATTAGTATAGTATGAATCGATTATATCTCTATCGCTATTATAATGACACTTCAGCAGTAATGGGGGTGGAGTCTCTCCTAACCAATCAAAAACCTTGAAAAGTCATAATGATGAACTTTAATGAATAGACGTAAGCGATCTACGAAGGTGAATCAAATATCAACCGGACTTTTCTGTTTTACGCGCCATAGGTGAATGGAGTGGGGCGAAGTCTTGATATATATTGGGTGGGGATGACGGGAGAGGGGAGTCAGTCGATTTGGCACCAACGTTGCCAGACGTACGATAATTATCGTTTCTGTACGATAATTTCAAGTACTGTACGACGTACGACAGTATGTGTAGGATAATAGCTGAATGTACGATAATTTTGCGAATGAGCTTTTTTACTCACAGATGTTGAATCAATCTAACAACTACGATCGATTAACACCAGCAAACAGCTGTCAATGTTGCCGCTTGGTAGACAAGCGCGCGTACCCCACCTTGTATAATGGGTTGCCTAGCATTATACGGACTATCTCGGCAAACATCAACGGGAAAAATTGCCGTCAATCAGTTCTCAGGTTCTATGTATTGACATGACGCGCATATTTTTATTTACCCATGTGCATTAGATCGTGGGAAACGGGAAGAAAGAGTGGGAAACAAAAGAGCCCCTCCCCCCCCCCGAGACGGAAATGTCCTTCATCATGAATCCTGAGAGACGCTGTTTGGCACGCTGAAGTAGTAGATGAGCTGTTAGTAGCGTCATATCTGAGCAAGAGGTGCACACGTCTCTTGCGTTAAAATTTCTGTCGCGGGAGGACGTTAAACCTTCCGAAATTTTACGTCGATTAACAGCACAGTTCGGAAATAAGACAGTTTCAAGGTCATAAGTATACGACTGGCAAACAAATTTTCCATGGAGTGGCGAAAGCCTGGAGAGGCATCACCGCGAAAAGCCAAGACTAGTCTTTCTGCAGGAAAAGTTCGTGCAACGGTATTTTGGGATTCCAGAGGTATACTGCTAGTTTTCTTCACGACCGCCGTACATTTAATGCTGCTTACTACTGCCAACTGCTTAAAGGAGTGAAACTGGCTTATCGGCGAAAAAGGCGATACATATACACATGACAACGCTCGGCCAGACACAGCTGCATTGACCCAGAAAAATTACGCAAAATCTATTGAGAAACACTTGAACACCCGCCTTACAGACCCGATTTGTTGCCATGTGACTATCACATGGGAGGTCACCACTTTGACGACGACAAAGACGTGGAACTGTTCGTGCAAAATTGGCTACTGACACGACCAGCTTCATTCTTTGATGGAGGAATTAAACAACTTCCGATCCGATCGGAAAAATGCATCAATAAGAGAAGAGATTATGTAGAAAAATAATATGTAAATCAACTTTACTATATCAATGAAATTACTTAAGCATAAGTCCGGTTCATATTTGATTTACCCTCGTATATGCAATTGCGATGATCATTTCAGCTTTTCAACAAAGTCGTATGGCCGATAGCCTATATTCTTGTTCTTACCTGCTGGGCAAATATTTCTCTGAAATCCTCCTGCAACTGCTGACCTAAGCTGTTTATCAAAGCTACACAAAAATGAGACCTAGTTTTAACACTCATCAGCTGAGAAAGTCCTGTTTCGGCTATTGCTACCTTGGAGCAATTCACAGCTATTTCAGCATCGTTTAACATCCACTTAATTGCTATAAATTCATTAGAAACATGAATAGAAATATATTCTTAAGCAAACAATATACAAAATCAAGAAATGAGTGTGTAGCAGTTCTCAGGAGGGAAAAGAAAAAATACTATGATAAGAAGATCGATAGCAATAAAAATAATTCTAAAATGATGTGGAAAACATTAAAGAATATTGTTTCTCCTGATAAAAAAAACTGAATTATCTAAAATGCGTTCCGAAGATGGGGTAGTGACAGACAAATCAATTATATCAGAAAGAATGAACACTTATTTTATAGAAAGTGGAAATCAAATAGTGAAGACGATTGACGGTGATCCAAACTTATGTCTATTACAAGTATGTCAGAATTCATCAATGAAGCAATTTAGGACAATTAACATCAACAATCTAAGAAAAGCTATCTCAAAATTGAAATCTAATAAAAATCCAAGTGAGAATCCCTCAAAAAATATTCTAAATGATTGTTTCAATATAATTGGAGAGAAATTATTCTTATTGGTGAATCATTGTTTAGTACATGGTGAATTCCCATCAAAATTAAAGTGTTCCACCATTACTCCTGTGCCAAAAGTTCAAAATTCTCAGCTGTATACAAATATGCGGCCGATCAATGTCTTGCCCGATGTCGAGAAGCTGTTCGAAGGGATAATATACGAACAAATCATAGAATTCATTGAAGAATCCAAAATTTTGATAAAAAATCAGGCTGGATTTAGAAAAAAATGTTCTACAGAAACGGCAATCCAAATGGTGGTGGAAGACTGGAGAAGAAGTATAGATGAGAAAGAATATATATTGTAACAATATTTTTAGACTTCAAAAGGGCATTTGAGACTATAGATAGGAAAAAATTATTAATCACTATGGCTTTAAAGACATTTTACAAAATTATTTAGTAAATAGAAGTCAAAAAACTAAAATATTATGTCAAGTGTTCAAAATATATCAGTAGAGGTGCCACAGGGTAGTAAATTAGGGCCGTTACTATTTATTATTTATATAAATGGTATCTCTGACATTTTAGAACACTGCAAAATTCAAATATCTGCGAACGATACACTGTTTCACGAACATTATGAATACATTATTTCAAAAATATCGAAAAAGATGAATTACTTCTATAGAGTTTCCCATAATCTTAGTAAGTATTCCAAAAAAATTGTGTATAACACTATAATTCTTTCCCCTTTTTTATATTGTTCAACCATCTTGTTTACAGCAAATGAAAATAAAAATTCTACAAAATAAAGCTATGAGAATCATTTTAAATAAAAACAAATATACCACGATTAAGTCTATGTTAAAAGAACTGCAGTGGTTGGATGTGAAAAATTTCATATATTATTTATGTCGGGTTCATGCACGACTTAACGTAACCGAACTTAAGGATCTGCTGTTTCTACACCAGTGTCCTCCACATGTTACGCCTCCAGATAGTAACTACCTAGTGACTTCCAGTGGTGGTCAAACGTTTTGGTGACGTCACACCCATTTTTGACATGATTCGGGTGGTTTCGGAACTCGTCTTACCCTTGGATAGCCCTTTCCATACTGTTCTATGCTCGTATTGACGTAATTATAATAATTCTGTGGTGTCTCGTGTTCCACGACGATTTACCGAGAAAGCCAGGCGGGGACTCATCTGTTGTTTTTGTTTGAGTTGTTGACGAATTTGCGGTAGAGATTTGTTTTGGTGTTCGTCTTGGGGTGTGTTTTTCTGCCTTGGACTTGTTTTTTGTGCGATTAATTGAGGATGGCCATGCCTAGAGCAAAAAAAACGAAAAGCCGCGCTGGTATCAACTCCTGACCTTGTTGAAGAGGTACCTGCAGAAGTCACCTGAACGCAACCGGACATCGCCAGAGGAGCGCCTAATGATGACGTTGCAGTAAGTATCCAAAATTTTTGCATAAATGACTAAATATATTGAGGTTATGGTCGTTTTCTTAATTCAAGGTCACTTCTTAAAATAAAGTTCAATATATTGAACTTTTTCTTAAGAACCAACCAATCGGATCACTAGCGTTGGTCAGCTGATCGCTACAGCTGGAATTAGAAGATTGGTACGAGCCATCGATACTGTACAAAAGTCGATAGTCGATATTTATATCGTGATGTTTGATCGATTTTATATCGCTGTATGGGCAGATGGTTCGGTGATAGTTGTATGAAAAATTATTTGCGCTCGCTTACGCATGACAGTTTAGAGCTGAACATCGGGGCTGATTGATAAAAAAAATCAGAGATGTTAAAAATTATAATAAATAAAGTCAGTGGTCATGTTTACTTCATCCCCTAATAAAGTGCGTATAGTGGTAGTTTCAGCAAAACATATCAGTATTGCTACAGCATAAAGTAGATCAAAAAACAGCATGAAAAAAATAAACATGGGTCCTAAATTGCCCCTTACTAAGATAAACGAAAAAAAAATGGAAATGATCTTAAAGTTTTGTGCTTGTAGTACTGACTTCATAGCTGATAGATGCAAACACTTTCATGTCTGAGACTGTACCAGTGGTGATGTTGGAAAATTATAGCCCCTACAGAAGAAAAAAGAGAATTTAAATCTATACCATGCCCCCCATGACATGTTTTTCCAAAACCTCACAGAACACTGTGAAGGTACTTTGTCATTAACTACAAACCAGGTGTACACCTGACGAATGCAGTGTATTCGCTGTCCACCAAATATGTAATCTCTTTTGACGTTTATTGAGGTAAACAGATTGAGTACTTAGCACGTAACTTTTTTTGTGACATCTGTACTGTTGGTAATAACAAACCTGGTAAAGGGCCAAATTAAGGACTGGCGTTTGGTATCACCAATGAAAATTTTTTTTTAAACACAGAATTTTGGCAATCAAATGTATACTGCTAGATTGGGAATTTATAGATATGTACAGAGCAGTATCATCTGAAGGGGCGTGGTGAGATGACTATGTTTCTGTTTAGTGTTTGCTGACCAAATATGACAGTGATATTATGCTAATAATTTTTTTTTGTTTCACAGTGTCAATATCCTTCGAGGAGACAGTTGGAGTGAAGATTGTCATTTATTTTATGGATACCAAATTAATTGTCAATGACATAAGGAGTTTGTTTCCTAGTTTGAAGAAACAATTAGTGTTTTATGTGTTTTTTTTTTGTTGAGGACAATTTTGTTTGCCTTTACCCATTAACAGTGTATGCAAAACTATTTTTGATTCACATATCAGAGTGATTATATTTGTATTCCAGTTAGTCCTCTAACTACAGATGTATTTTTTGTTATTTTAGTATTTATGTTTTCGCAATAAATATACATGATCAACTAACAAGAGATAGTGCTTGCATGATATTGGACTGATCAGGTTCATAATATAGAGAAAAATCCAGATGAGTAGAATACTTCTATGTATGTACAATTTATTGTAATGGAGACTTTGTTCTATTATTGCTGGGACTGTTCAATAAATATTTTTTTAATTATACATTTTTTATTATCCTGAAATTCATTACTAGCCAAACTGATGAAAGAAATACTTCCTTTATTGAGGATGTGTTAATGCATCTATGATCATCGAACTGCCTCAATATCGGGACGGTCATCAGTCAGATTTCGTAATGTAAACAAATGAAATCGCCGACACATTCCTGACATTCCTGATATGCGTTGTCGGCATACTTTCAATATTTTTAGTTCCACCAGATTTCCAGCCAAGAAAAGTGGCGCTGCCGTCGAGGTTATAGTCCAAGAAATATCTTCACATCTGCTCAGGAAAATATTCGGATTCGGACTTTTTGCATGTTATTCGAAAAAGCCTCCTAGTAACAAATCTACATGTTGTCAGGCTCCAAATTGCGTCTCTAATTGGTTGTACAACTTTTTCAAGTAAATTCCAAAAATTAATGTTTTCGCTTCATCAAAGGTATTCGTTTTTTGATACTCCGAAACAAAACGATGTTTGACAATGTTTGTTAAAAGCTGATTTTGTACGAGATGGGAAAGTACAAAAAATTGATTTTGCGATACCGAAAAACGATCTGAAAAAACGAAAATGTTAATGTCGCCATGCTTCATAAATAACCATTAACACAATTGCGATACCTTTTAGGAGATACTGTTATTAAAAATCTTTGTATTTAATTGATATGCAAGCGGACGCTCAATGCATATTCAGCGTGCACGAGAGATATTTCATCTCTCTCTCGCGTTCACATAGACATAGACTATACATTGAGAGCGCATTCAATTCATAATTACTATGCAAATATTTACAATAACTGTACTCCCTAAAATGCTCTGGGGGTTTTGTTATTGGTTGGTTGGAGCATGTGTGAGATTTGGCAACATCAAAATATTCATTTTTCATATTGTTTTTAGGGTAGCAAATGACATATTTTGAGTTTTTACCTTGCTTATATCTGTATATATCAAGTCTAGAGAAAAGTTCTAAAGCTCATTTTTTATTCAGAATGTCCTAAAAACCGCAAAATACTATAAACAAAGCGAACAAATCAATTTTTGGAATCGGTTTAATAACAATTTTTGGAGCAATTTTGGGCCTAGTCACATGCAGATTCTTTAACAGAGGTCCTTGAATCAGATTATGCAAAAATCGGAATCGGAAGATTTTTCCGAGCAGATGTTTCGATATTATCTGGACTATTATCCGAGTTCTGTGACTTGATTACCAGTGCATTGGCGCAAGCGAGTGGGGAGGGGCCACTTGTCAATGTCAAGAAGGCTGGTCCGTCAGTCCACGCAACACAAAAGCCACAAAACACTCTTTCATCTGCTACTTTGACGTTAAACATATGATTTTGTTAGTGTGTTTAATGTTGATATTGTCACCATTGCTACATTGGCAATCCTGGCCGCGCATGCGCTTTAAATGCTCATTTTCTTAAGTTAAGTTACGTTAAGTCTTGCATGAACCCACCTTTAGTTCTAGGTTTTATATTCAAATTAAAAAATTAATTTATTACCACCACATTTAGAGAACTTCACAAAATTAAATAGTCATTATCATAACTACGAAACTAGAGGCAGTATAGATTTTCATCTGCAAAATTGTAATAGTAGCATAACTAGTAATTCTATATTTCAAAAGGGAGTATTTCAATTTAAAAATTGAATAATGATATTAAACAGAGTTCGAATTTAAAAATGTTTAAGGTGAAATTAAAGAATCACTTTATGAATAATCAAAATGCATAGTGACGTAATATTAATGTTAATTTCAATTTTAATATACAAGAATGTAAAACTACAGAAAATGGATTGAAGAAAAATATGTAACCGAATCATTATACAAAATTGACATTGCAGCATTAATACTTAATAAATCTTCAACAACAACAATAACTAGAGGCAATATAATATACTCACCATTACTGAAGTGATCACCGATAAGTGGGGCAAGACTCACTTTTTGTTCTTCAGGCAGTTTATTGACAAACTTCTCTATATAGTGACTTACACTTAGGTCCTCTTCACTCAAAAACACGATACCTATCCTTGATATGGTAGCAGGTGATGCATTATCTGAAAAACCAGTATCGGGACAGTGATTTTTTCAGGTATGAATCAAAGTGATAGCAAAAAAATTAAAAAATATATAATATTTACTCTACCTAAGTTGTCAGTTTCAAATACAAAATTAACGTTCGATCCAAATTGTATCCGCCATCCGGAAGGCAGTGATAACAGCCTGTTATCATCTAAGACTGAATTTAGTGACTCAACCCAATCTGGGTCTATATCTCCATCGCAATTGATCCAGGTCCATATATCTGCAAACTTTATGACTTAAGAATTATACTAAATGACATAGAAAATGCAACAGCGACTAGGAGTGTTGTAATTTTGAGCATACTTTTACAAGCTCTAGTGATAAATAGAAGGTGATTAAAATTTTAACTTGAAATTTCGCAAAGTAACAGAGATGACAAATCACTGAACATTGAGTAAACATGTTCATATTGTTCGGATCCTGATATGACAAGAAAAACCTTTACCGAATAAGTACTTCTCGGAATGACTTCAACAGTTTATCAGCGTATACTTCCATGATAGTAAATATATTTACAAGTGTTTATCAAAATTCAATAAATAATTCCGGGTGTTGCGTTTTATATGTCACTTAGTATATTTTTAATGTTCTTGTTTTCTAACCTGGATTTTCTGATGCTGCTTGTAAACTGTAACTCGTCAGTACACCTGCACTCCATTGGTTCGAATCTGGATCAGTTTTACCCAGTAAATTAGATCTTTGCATACTTTTAGGGTTGAAAGAATAGCATTTCATTTGCCTTCCCAGTTTGAGCAGTGCCTAAACATTCCAATAAATGTAATAAATTACTATACCAAAATTGTTGAAAATGGCCCCCTTCACTTAGTATGCATGCTTCCATCCTCCTTCTCATGGTATTGCGCACCCGTTGAAATATCCCTGGAGTGTATTTTATTCTATCACAAGCTGCAACTATTCTTTCCCTTAATTCCTCTACAGTGTTGATGGGACTTGTGTACACTAGTGTCTTAAGATAGCCCCACACAAAAGAAATCTAAACTGTTGAGGTCTGGGGACCTTGGCGGCTATTCTTTTGGCCCACCGCGGCCAATCCAACGATTTGGATAAACCGTTCGTGAATAATTACGAACCGATACACTGAAATGCGCTGGTGCACCATATGTATATACCACATATTGTTTCTTATTACTAATAGAACATCATCAAGCAGCAAAGGCAACTGTTGTTGAAGAAAATTGAGGTAAGTCTGTTCGTCAAGTCGTCCCGGCAAGAAGAATGGGCCAATAAAGTGGTGGCCAATAATTCCTGCCCATACATTAACCGAAAATTGGTGTTGAAACTGGGTTTCGGTTACTGCCCACAAATGATTATTGTGGAAATTCTGAATGACATTTCGGGAAAAATTAGCTTCGTCCGTGAACAGAATCATTGTTTGAAATTGCGGATTTTGTGTAATTTTTTGAAGATACCACTGACAAAAGATCACACGCCTTGGAAAATCAATGGGAAGTAATCCCTGTACTCTTAAAATATGGTCAGGATATAACAAAAAAATCCACTAAAATTCTCCAAACAATTTGATAGCAAATATTTAAGTGTCTAGTGATCTTCCTCGTACTCGTTTCAGGATGTTCTCCGACTTCGTGCAGCACTGCTTGCTCAATTTCAGGTGTTCTCACACTTAGAGGTCTACCTTCAGATGTTCCTTTTTGGACAAGACGGTGATGAATATTAGAAAAGGTTCGACTATCTGGCAAAGCACGATCGGGATATCTCTGGTGATAAATCCGCCTGGCTTGCTCACCATTACCGTCGGCGAGGCCATATACGTAATGCATTTCCGCCATTTCTGCATTTGAATAATTCAGCATTATTAACAAGATCGTAAAAAGTAAATAATGAAAAAGATGTCGCAGCGAACAGGTTTGAATAACAGAGGCTTGTCAGATGTCAAAAGTCAGTGACATATTCTAGAGCAACTAGATATTTATTGCTAAACTTCAAAAAAACAAAATTTATTGCATTTACATCCTATTCAAAATGTTTACCTACATTCGAACAAATTTCCATTAATTATCATGGCCAAAAGACCAAAATCGATAGAGTTAACACTTTGAAATATCTTGGAATATTTATAGACTCACATCTAAGGTGGGATAACCATATTAAATATGTTATCAAAAAAATTAGAAACGTTGCCTATAAACTCAAAATGCTTGCTAACATCTTACAGAAAGTTATCTGCGAATCTTATACCATACCTTAGTTGAAACCCATATAATATACGGCATCACAGCCTGGGGTGCCGCCTGCAAGACATATATTTCTGAACTGAATATAGCACAAAAAACTGTTTTGAAAGCCATTTTCCATAAGCCAAGATTATATCCAACGAACAACTTATATCAAGAAACAGGGATACTTGATACAAGACAACTTTATTTCTTACATGCCACCACCTTATACCATAAGTATTGTAATGAAAAGAAAAAATATAAACACGAGCATAACACACGATTTCGAATAGGCTCATCTAATATCCAAAGACCACACAAAACATTATTCAAAAAATCATTTAAATGCTTAGCAGCTAAATTATAGAATGTAGTACCAAACGAAATAAAGATACTTAATTTTGGAAAAAAATTTAGAAGAAAATTGAAAGACTGGGTTAGTAATGTGCAGCGAATGACTATACATAATTATATAGAAAACTAAAACTACAAAATTCCAATTACATTAATACCTTTTAGATTTAACAATAATTGTTATACACATATATGATTGATTGTTAGTTATTAAGATATAAACCACACTCAGGCGATGCCTTCTGTGGTTTTTTCGTATTTATTTGCCCATTTTTTTGTATTTTGGAGAAAAAATATTATTATTATTATTATTATTCAGTTATTATTACATTAATATTCTCGGACAATAGAACGGTTTTATTTTTTTACTCAAAAGTGGCGCATCGAAGGAAAACAATTCAAGAAAAAACATTTGTTTTAAATTGAACGGGGAATTCAAAAATAATCTTTATTTGGCAAAAAACCATGGGCGTACCATTTTTTTCTTAAAAAATATCGAAGTCAATACCCGTACGCACGCCACTGTTGAAGCTAAAATTTATTTTTGCATTGAAAAATATGCAACTGTATTAACTTCCACTGCGTACTAAATATCAGTGAAAAATTTGAAGCGGTTCTGAAAATATTAATTAATTTCCATTTTTTTTCCTAAAACTTCCTAAAACATTTTTGGACCATAGTTTATGAAGCAAACTAACATTAATTGTTCATGTAGATTTACACCCTTAAATATTCGCATATCATTAAGGAACACCCTGTATATTGCCATTTCAAATCAGATGCAGTCCCAATTTAATTCTACTCTTACCTTTTGCAGTAAGTCTCGAATTGTACTTTTTCCTGAACTTGGAGGACCCACAATCGCAACGCCCATTCTCTGTTGCAATTGTTCATAAAATTCCAAGCACTTATTGATCTGAAAAAGCCAATAATACGGTATGAAAAACAATAACAATTGTTTAATATATTTACCTGTCTGTTATTAATAACAATACCAAGTTCCTGAAAACTTCCCTCCAAGCATTTAATGAGCATTTCTTCTCTATTTACTTCGATACTATTTTCCTTGAAAACATCTTTGATGATCATGTCAAACTTCATCGAATCATTGAACGATAGCTTCGAAAAAGTATCTGTTTTCAAAACTTGAATCACTATTCCCACCTCAGCCTCATAGTTAATGTTTATCGTATCATTCTTCACTTTGAAATTTTTCAAAGCTCTTCCACAACCGCTTAGAACCGTTTTGATTGCTCTTAAACCAAAATCGTAGTGTTTCTGTTTACTCAAAAGATTGCTAAAAAACATAGTAGATGATTCGTGGGTACATTAATTTCAGGTAAGTAAGTATTTCAAGTGAAGGGTAAGGAAAAATATTTTCAAAAATTTACCGAAAAAATAAAAAAAAGACTTTAAGGTGTTTTATGTACAGTAATGGACAAAAGTACATAGACAAATTAATATTGTGCTGTGTTTCTTTTTTAACTTGTTTTATTAATACACCAACCTATATACATAATTCGTTATAGCATAATACTAACTTATACATAAATAAATTCATTAGATTTCCTTCAATAAAAAATTAATTGAAAAAAACTGGAACTATGAAGGACAAAAATATACTAAGTGACATATAAATCCGAACACCCAGTTTAAATGGTTTTATTTTAATAAAAGTTGGTGAATGTATTTATCTTACTGTAAATAACAAGTGAAAAAATTTTCAACCTTATCAGTTGGACATTCCGGTTTTTATACTGCTTTTTTTTTAATTCACTAACGCTCTAAAAATGAATATTTCAGCCGCAGTAAAGAATCAACGTTGGCGGATTTTGGTTCTTGACATCCTTTACGATCGGTTACGATGCCTAGAGTACGGAGACCTGTACGATTTCGTCAACTTAGTGAGTTTGATAGGGGCCGTATAGTGGGACTTCGGGAAGCTGGACTTTCTTTTCGGGCAATTGCAGTTAGAGTACAAAGAAGTGTAGACACTGTGGTTAGGTGTTGTCAGGCATGGCTTCGAGAATGCCGTACGCAAAGAGCAAGGGGCACTGGACGCCGCCGTAGAACAACAGACCGTGAAGATCGTTGCCTAAGATTATTGGCCTTAAGGGACCGTTTCTCCACTACCAGGTCCATTGCAAATGAATGGTTTGCAGAACACGGAAGACCTAATGGCATGCGAAGTGTTTACCGACGAATGAGAAGTTTTGGCTTGTTTTCATACCGGCCACACTGGGTCCTCCCTTTAACTCGAGAACACCGACGTAATCGCCTTGAGTGGTGCAGACAACGGTCACTCTGGGATCAGGAATGGAACAGTATTGTCTTTAGTGACGAGTCTCGATTTTGTTTAGGCATGCACGATGGTCGTGCCAGGGTAAGAAGGCGACGTGGTGAAAGGAGGAATCCACAGTTTTTTGTTGAAAGGCATGTTCATCACACTGTTGGAGTTATGGTTTGGGGTGCTATAGCTTATGGTTCCAGGTCACCTTTAATCTTCATCAGAGGTAACATGAACGCGCAACGTTATATCCACGAAGTTCTAGAACCCCATCTTTTACCCTATCTTGACACCCTGGCAGATCCAACTTTCCAACAAGATAATGCCCGACCGCATATTGCAAGAGTCACAATAGACTTCTTTCAACATAATGATGTCACATTGTTACCATGGCCACCAAGATCTCCCGACTTATCCCCAATGGAGCACGTGTGGGATATGTTGGGTAAGAGATTGCTCAATTTGCAACGCCCTCCTCAGACTCTAGAAGCACTTCGAGAGGAGTTGGTGGTTGCCTGGAATGAGATACCACAGGAGGACATTGACCACCTGATCAGAAGCATGCCTAGGCGCGTTGGAGAATGCGTAGCACATCAGGGTGCATCCACACATTATTAAAGGTCAAAGGGCTTTAAAGCAGTGCAATCATTTTGAAATTTTTATCATTTACTTATTATGCTTCATTAAGTACTTCTACAAAATTTTATTAAAATAAAACCATTTAAACTGGGTGTTCGGATTCCATGTTCCATTCCTGATCCCAGAGTGACCGTTCTCTGCACCACTGAAGGCGATTACGTCGGTGTTCTCGACCCAGTATGGCCGGTATGAAAACAAGCCAAAACTTCTCATTCGTCGGTAAACACTTCGCATGCCAATAAGTCTTCCGTGTTCTGCAAACCATTCATTTGCAATGGACCTGGTAGTGGAGAAACGGTCCCTTAAGGCCAATAATCTTAGGCGGCGATCTTCACGGTCTGTTGTTCTACGGCGGCGTTCAGTGCCCCTTGCTCTTTGCGTACGGCCTTCTCGAAGCCATGCCTGAATACACCTAACCACAGTGTCTACACTTCTTTGCACTCTAACTGCAATTGCCCGAAAAGAAAGTCCAGCTTCCCGAAGTCCCACTATACGGCCCCTATCAAACTCACTAAGTTGACGAAATCGTACAGGTCTCCGTACTCTAGGCATCGTAACCGATCGTAAAGGATGTCAAGAACCAAAATCCGCCAACGTTGATTCTTTACTGCGACTGAAATATTCATTTTTAGAGCGTTAGTGAATTAAAAAAAGCAGTATAAAAACCGGAATGTCCAACTGATAAGGCTGAACATTTTTTCACTTGTTATTTACAGTAAGATAAATACATTCACCAACTTTTATTAAAATAAAACCATTTAAACTGGGTGTTCGGATTTATATGTCACTTAGTATATTTACAAATGCGACAAACATTTCTTACTGCCGAATTACGTAGATTGAGAGTTGAAGATCACGAAATATGGTTTCAACAGGATGGGGCAACTAGTCATACCGCTAGAATAGTTATGCAGTTTTTAAGGAATAAGTTTCCTGGCAAATTAATTTCCCGAAATGGAGACCTTGCCTGGCCAGCACGTTCTCCTGACTTAACGCCTCCAGATTGTTTCTTATGGGCGTACTTAAAGTCTAAAGTGTATGTAAACAAGCCCCGCACACTGTATGAGCTAAAGAACAACATAACTGAGGAGATAAGAAAAATTGATGGAAGGCTTCGAGGCGCAGTTATGAACCACGTCCAAGAAAATATTGAAAAATGTATAGAGTTTAATGGTGGACATATAAAATCTGTAATTTTTAAAAAATAATAAACTGTTAAAAACTGCATTCAATGAGTATTATTTTTCAAATTTTTACATATTTTTACAACAAAATTGCTAATAAATACAGTACCGAAAAACGTCATATTCCACTGCCGGACCCTGTATTTGTTCAATATTGCCCAAACTGCTTTACGCTTCAGTTTCAAATTTTTGGCAATGTCGATTTGATGTTGACCATCTTTGTATAACTCAATGATCTTATTTTTCACATCGGAAGAAATTTCTGGACCACGCGGCATGGTCTTAAAATCACTCAAATTATTCCACAATACTTTATGGACACAAACTAATCCTCTTTTAAGGCGAAACTGAACTAAACTAATGTTGAGAAGAATTTGTCTACATATTTTTGTCCCTCATAAAAAAGTGCTTGTATTCAGACTTGTATTGTGTTCATTGCAGATAATGTAAAAATAAGGAATTGAGTTTTTCGACTAATAACGGATTTGTTTATGGAGCAATGCAGTATGAATTCGTTTTATAAAGGTATTTAGGTAAATATTCACATTTGTCCATTACTGCATGTATTCTGTTGATTATACAAAGAGTTCATTTGAAAACAATTCATATACAGGGTGATCATTTGAAAACCTCCCTCCACGGATTTATCGAAAATCACTGTTTAAGAGAAAAAATCGCCTAGACACGTCAAAAGATTTGTCAAGAGGAACAACTTTTTAACCAAAAACTACTTTCACCCTCTGCCTCCCAGGATCCTCCCCTTAAAAATTTTAAATGACAAGGTGTACCAAGTATTAGCTTGTTTGAAAGGCCTTTCAAAGTCCTTCATTTTGACGTTTGATTTTTTGAAATCAGTCTATTCGTTTTCGAGAAAATTAGAAAAATCTTTATTTATCTTAAATTGTCTAGATAGAAAACAATTTTCTTGAAAACGAATCAAGCTATTTTGAAAAATCAAACGTCAAAATAAAGGACTTCTAAAGACCTTTCAAACAAGCTGTTACTCGACACCCCTTGTCGCTTAAAATGTTTAAGGGGAGGATCCTGGGAGGCAGAGGGTGAAAGTAGTTTTTGGTTACAAAGTTGCCCTTCTCAAATCGTTTGAAGTGTCTCTTCTTTTAATCAGTGGTTTTTGATAAGTCCGTGGTGGGAGCTGTTCAAGTGCACACCCGGTATGTACCTAGCTACATCGTAGACAGCGATCAATTTTGTAGCAATGATATTCGCGTTTTGGTAGCCATCGCAATGCAACAAAGACCTGGCTATCTGCACATGGTCAGGATGCGTCATCACCACTGGCCTGAACAACTGTTTCAAATTGTCCGGTAACTTATTTCTGCCACCGTAGTCACCCCCAGCTGGATTAAGGGTCACGAATATGCCACAATGCTTATTGACCGAAACCTAAATCGATAAAAGTAGTTTTTAATATTCATCCAAGGAACTCTTATACTACAAAATCATTATCAGACGTTTGTTTAACACTTCTTACGTTGAATTGTTGAAAAATACCTTTTGTTCCAAGACTTCCACAGTTTCTTGATGTTGTCTTATAGCAACCTGTATAGGATGAATTATCATAGAGATAGCAGACAGCGTAGCCTCATCAAGTCTATTGAACTCGTCAAAACATCCCCAAGCTCCGGTTTTAACAAGACCTATGAGGATTCTGCCCATTCCATTAGCATCAATCCCCTACAAAATTATACACAGGGTGTTCATTTGTAAACCTCCCTCCACGGATTCATCGAAAACCACTGATTAAAAGAAAAAACACCGAGACACGTCAAAAGATTTGTCAAGCGGGACAACTCTTTAACCAGTAACTATTTCATCCCCTTTCACCCTCGGCTCCCCAAGGTTATTCCCTTAAAAAATTTTAAATGACAAGTGGTATCGAGGAATAGCTTGTTTGAAAGGTTTTTCGAATTCGTTTATTTTGACGCTTCATTTTTTAAAATCAGTAGATTGGTTTTTTTAGAAAATTAGAAAAATCTTTATTTATCTTAATTTGTTGAGATAGAAAGCAAAAACACCCAAAAATATCACTTTTTATTTCGATAAGTGTTCAAAATGTTGCCGGTTAGGGTTTGCCAAATCTACAATTCGTTTATAAATTAGAACGGAAATTACCAACATAAACAGCAATTCGGAAGATTAGACGTGCAGCGATTAATGATAATACCATTCACGTAAAGAATATCTGCTTCAGCGGTGAATGAACATTTTTTTCTAAATAGATTTGTTATTAAGCATAACTGCAGGTATTGGAGCGATGATAATCCTCATGCTTTTGTAGAAGGGCATACCCAGTACCCCCAAAAAATTAATGTATAAGCAGGCATTTTAGGAAACAAAGTGATTGTGCCATTGTTTATTAACGGAAATTTCAATGGAGACATTTATTTGGATATGTTGGAAAATACCATCAATCCTCTTATCACTGAAACCATTGCAAAACCAAATCGAAGAGGGTTGGAAAAACTATACTTGATGAGGCTTAAATATATTTCCAGCAAAACGACGCTCCTCCTCACTATGTTCTTCTGGTTCGGCAATGTCTATACTACAACTATTTTAAACTGTAATGACTCATACGCGTGATCAACACGTGATCAGAGCTCGATCCCGGCTTCCTTCCAGTACAGCCGTATAGCGTACGACATATGTCGTTTCTGTGGCTTTGCGGTGGTCAACAGCACAGACAGAGATGGAAATAATGACTGATTGTTCTCCGCCGGTAGAACCAATGAAATCAAAGGCGCGCCTCGACCGGCAGACTCATAGGCGTCGGCAACGCATTGGAACGTGTTTCGTTGAGCGATCGCATATTGTGTGTTTTTATAAGAATTGTTGTGTGATTGTTATTGTTGTGGTTTCTGTGGTTACTGTTTTGGTTATACTTAACCATGGAGAGTACAAATGGCACGAGTGGAAGTACTGAAAGCCAGGGAACAAGTAGACGGCTTCGTAAAGCACTGAAGAGGGACGCGAAAGAAATCGTGCTCAACGTGTTCAATTATCTGAACAGAACTATGTCGCAGGGAGATGCACTCGCGCGTTGTGAAAGTATGACAGGCGTTCCAGAGTGGACCATTCGCAGGGTGGTGCATGAAAAGAAGAAAACTGGAGCTACTACTGATCCAAAGTTTAATTTGAAGGGACGAAAGTTCGTTAAATTGGATGACGATAGCAAAATGGCGTTAAGGCGAACCGTACATTCATTCTTCTTTAGGAATGAGATACCAACCCTCAAGGCTGTACATGCAGCGATCAAGGAAAATGAAATTATACCCCAAATGAGCGTCGAGGTAATGAGGAAATCACTGCACGAAATTAATTTTCGGTACGAAGCGCGTAATCGGAAGTCAGTATTGATAGAGAGACCTGAAATAGTCGCCTGGCGTCGAAAATACCTACGCGAAATGATTGAATATAGGCGACAAAGCAGAAAAATCTATTATTTGGACGAGACATGGGTAAATGCAGGTCACACAGTTAAAAAAACCTGGATAGACAAAAACGTAGTGAGTAACCGACAAGCAAGCATTGAAGGTTTGTCAACAGGTCTTCGTGGACCGTCAGGGAAAGGTCAAAGATTGATCGTAACTCATATTGGTAGCGATAGTGGCTTTTTAGAAGAGTGTGACTTGATTTTCGTCTCTAAGAAAGGAGGTGATTACCACGACGAAATGAATGCCAGCTGCTTCGAGAGCTAGTTTCAAGGGGTGCTTCAGCGAGTTGAGCTCAACTCTGTGATCGTCATGGATAATGCTTCCTACCATAGTCGTCGAGCCGAACGTGTACCGACTATGGGATCTCGAAAAAGTGACAAGCAGCAATGGTTGCGCGAAAAAGGAATCCCGTTTGACGATTCATGTGTGAAAGCGGAATTGTATGAAAAAATTAAACAGCACAAACCTGCGAACATTAGTTACGTGACTGATGAGATGGCCCGTCAATGTGGTGTCACTGTGCTGCGGTTACCGCCCTACCACTGTGAACTGAACCCAATAGAGCTCATCTGGGCTCAAGTGAAGGGTTATATTGCGCGCCATAACACAACCTTCAAATTACCAGACGTTAAGGTTTTACTTGAGACTTCCATACAGCTAGTAACGCCCGAAGCTTGGCAGAATGCTATCCGTCATGTTGTGAAGGAAGAAACAAAAATGTGGCAGCTTGACCACCACATCGACACCATCATAGAGCCAGTTATAGTCAATTTCAACGAGGAAAGCGATAGCGACAGTTTATTACTGTCAGATGTAAGTGGAAGCGACGATGAATAAAGGTAATTCCCAAATTTTTGACTTACAATATGTTTCAAACCACTCTTTATTAAGCATGTGACAAATCTAGTTCACCCATGTTAAATATTCATACCCCGCCTATGAACAGCCGACTACTGGTAGTTAAGTGATGTTCACGTGAACATCGATGAGTCACTACAGTTTTTGATAGTTATAGTATAGACGACGAGTTTCCAGATAAATGGATATGGCGAAGAGGGACTACAGAATGGCCTGCTAGATCTCCCGATTTGACGCCATTAGACTTTTTTGTATGGGACCATTTGAAATCAATTGTTTTTACTCCCGAACCTGAAAGTTTGGATAAACTTCGTCAACACATCATCGAAAGCTGCCCTGATATCCCACAACATGTTTCTGAAAATGTCCGTCAGAAATTTTAACGGGCAACATTTTGAACACTTATTGAAATAAAAAGTGATATTTTTGTGCGTTTTCGTTTTCAATCTGAACAAATTAAGGATAAACAAAGGTTTTTCTAATTTTCTTGAAAACGTATCGACCGATTTTGAAAAATCGAACGTCAAAGTAAAGGACTTGGAAAGACCTTTCAAACAAGCTATTACACGATTCTGGTTTTCGATAAATCTGTGGTGGAAAGTTTTCAAATGAACACCCTGTATATGAATTGTTTTTCATATTGTTTACTCACTTCATCGCAATTAAAAACCAAAACTTGTCTTCCTAGAAGACCACCAAGTGCCTTGACTGATTCAGTTTTGCCAGTACCCGCTGGTCCATAAGGATTGCCACCCATCCCCAAATAAATAGCCTACAAATCAGTAACCTTTTATTTTCCAAACCTTCCATGCTAATTATGTTTTTATATGTTGTAATACTTCATAGTCAATTGATTCTACCACTTTTTAGCACAAAGGATGGCACATAGGCTAGTGCCTTGTAAAGTGTTGCTCAAGTATACATATTGAATAACAGTGGCCTCTTCTTCTGATCAAGAGACACATATTAGTTAGGCTTACTTGTGTTAGGGTGAGGAAGCATCGGTCAGTTAGGGTAGTTTGCACCAATTTTGGAGCATTACCCAAGTATTCATACGAATAGTCCATTCTCGCATTTGCCATTTTTATTGTTACGTCTCCTGCTGAATTCACATAATATCTAGAAGCAAAAAATATCACATATGCATGTAAAAGATTATCATTACGTCAAATTGAAATTTGTATCATTTCGCTTCCTACCTTAGCTGTTTTTGCCATACCCAGTCCGATAGTTTTGTAACATTATTGCTAAGCAGTTCTTCAAGCACAGTTATGTGGTGGATGGTATCAAGAAGCAACGCTTTCAGCTTTATATTCAAAACATTATCAGTTTCGGTGCTACCTTGTCCACTGTTTAATTCTAACGAACTATAGTGAAGCAGTTGTGTCTAAAATGATATATCAATCTTTTGTATGAGCTGTTTTCTTTAATATTTATAAATGAAATATAAAATAAATGCAAACAAATTTCTTACTTTGTATTTAGCCAAAAGAGGTGGTAAAGCCATACTAGTTATAGCCTGTTCACATTTCGCAGTGAATGTAATGCTATCAGATAAACAAAGTATCTGAGATGGATACGACAGAGGATCTGGAGCCTGCTTCTCTTTCTGGCAGTTCACCAGCAGGTCTTTCAAAGTCCGTTGCATTTCTTTCACCAATACATTCAACCATTGCTACAAAATACGATATATCTGTACTGCTGTTACCTATTTGCTAAGAAAAATCTGAACTGTAAATAACTATCTATAGCAACGTCAAGGTCAACTACTGAGGTCTTTCAAGGTCAACCGGTAGTATCACATTATTTTGGAGATGACTGTATACAATAGTTATTAAATATGTTATTGATGATGGTCTTGAATATATCGTTGATCTTGAAAGCCTATTATGACATTTGGGATCTCTGCCTGACATAGATTTTTCAAATTATACAACCCTCTTTAAAATTCAACCTCGAAGTTGGATGCAAGGTCTTGATTCTCAGTTTATCCTCCAAATGAATGGTTCAATAATGATATGAAATATAAGTTTTTTTATCTTGCAGCCCTTGTGTCCGATAAATGTGATCATTTCCGTATAAATGGGCTTGAAATATTGCCACGAGTGATCATCCTGTAGTGCGTTACAGGCGCCACATGGGCGCCATATAGGTCGCTAGATATCCTAAACCGCATTTGCCGAGAAATGCGCACATCGTCGGCAAATAATACACAGTCTGCAAAGTTATATTTTTGCCAGCGGTGGGGGTTCTACCGATTTATAAAACTAGACACGTGGGATTTCTGCCCTGGGATCACTCGGGGCAAATCTCTCCTCGCGGGGCTGGAGCTTCCTGGGCCAAAAAGTAAGTGCTTGTTTCATTTTATTGCGCAGCGTTTTGTTAATACATTTTAATATTTTATTTTCTTGTCTTATAATTTGAGCCTCCACATCAGCGAGCCTGCTCAACTCAGAGCAAACTTGCCTCCCCATGTCGCAGTCTTGACAATATAGGTTTGGCTTCAGTTCAAGGTCATATTCTTCATGTCCATATTCGCGACATTAACAAGTGATTCCCGTTTAAATAAAATCCTGGAATGACCTCACAGTCAAATTCTATAATAACATTGACCTCTAATTCGTCTTCGATCAGGTGATAAAATTATTTCTGATGGAATGTTGCGTGAAATCTGTTTACCTCGATTGGGTGATGAATGCTGACAAAATTCGACAAATTGACGATTTCTCCTTCAGCAGAGCACATTGCTACGATATTCTGTCCATTTTCATCCAACTTTACGCTGTTAATACCAGCAAATATTTTCTTCAGGTGCGCTTGAATAACATGTTCCTTCGATGACTGGCCTATAACTTCTAACAGATCATCATCGCTTAAGAATAGGAAACGAGGAAATTGTTCGCGTTTCTCCTGAAAATCGGAAAAATAATGCTTGCAAATGACCCTGTTCTAGAAAAATGCCACCAATCACTCAAATGCAGGCGACACGCCACATTATAGATCAGGAAAATTAGATTCAAATAAATTGCAACAGAATTTTCAAGGTTCTCTCTAAGTGTATGTACATATGTATAGTTCACGACAGATGCAAAAACAAGCGGCACGCCACTTTATAGATCAGTAAAATTAGATTTGAATAAATTGCAACAGAAGGATTTTCAAGCATCTCTCCAAGTGTTGTCCCACAAGTATAGTTCTCGAAGGACTTATAGTGTCTGGTTTTCTGCTTCTTATGGTGCCGATACTGTTGTAGTATGGTAATTATATGACACAGCTCTAAATAATGATGGAAGCTGGTTCATCTGTATATAGAGGGTGTTTCAAATTCGACCTTCACCATTGAGATCTCTGAAGCTGTAAGAGATACGAAGTCACTTAAATGGGGCCAAAGTTGCGTATTTAGGTAATCAACAAAATGTCGCTTCGAAACTTTCGAAATTCAAAGTACTTCTGGAAAATAAAGGAAAATGAATTTGCACATTAACATTAAAACTTTTTTTCCTCTACAATATGGCATGATTGGAATACCAATAAAATTTTTCGTCGCTGTCCTTCAGCACCAACTTTATTTTTTCTTATGAACGCCATATTGGATTTTGTGCAAATAAATAGAGTTTTAAATTTTGGTTTCAAAAATGTATACATTGACATTTCCAACCCTGAATTATTCCAGAAAAATAGAATATCCTCGGTACGCCTGGAAATTATCAGATTTCATTTGTTTCGTATACCAGACCAGACCTCAAATTGAACATAGCAACAGAGTTTGGAAGACTGAGAAAAAAGAATTAAAGCGAGAAGTGAACAATGTACATAGAAGAATTAGGCGTTGCCTACAAAATAATGGACATTTCAAACATCTGCTATGATTTACCTCTGCTTATTTCTGATTATTATTGTTATTAGCGTCAATAAAATTTTCATATTATGTTCAGGTTTCACCATACCTTTTCATTTTGTTATAATTTTCATCCTTCAATAGATTCATGGCCAACTACCGCTGAAAAGTTCATTTAAATGTACAAAATTCCAATATAGCGTCCATATGAAAAAACAAAGTTGGAAATGTCGAAAGAAAAAATATCGAATTGAAAATTTTACTTGTAGAGAAGAAAGTCAGGAAAAAATAAAAGTGATTTTGGGATAAATCTGGTATGTGAAACAAATGACTATCTGATTATTTCAAGGCCAACCTAGAAAATTCTGCTTTTTTGAAATAACTTAGGTTTGGAAATGTCAATGTATAACCTATCATACATTTTTTGATCAGAATTAAAAACTCTATTAATCTGTGAAAACCCAATATGGCGGCCATAACAATAAATAAAGTTGATTCTGGAGGACATGAGACGAAACGTCACATTGAAATTTTAAGTACGCCATCCTGTAGAGGAGAAAAAGTAGAAACGTGAATGTGCAAGTTATCCTACTACAAATAAAGTCAGGAAAAATTAAAACGGTTTTGGGAAAAAACATTTATTCCCGTCTCCGGAAGTATACTTTATCTGAAGTCACTCGAAACACTGTGAAATACCGGGTGCGTTTTATATATCTATATTTAACACGCTCTGTTGCTGCAAAAATCGCCAAATTTCGCAGCAAATATAAGATCAAAGGCAGTTTCACCGGTCCACGTGGAGTAAAGCACGCCTATGCGTGGACATAGCCAATGAGAAAGCTACTGAAAATTGAAACAGTTTAGCCAGTGCCGTGTAGCGGTAAATAAACGTGTTTTCTTTAGTCTGTCCGTGTTTTTTCATAGATTTTATTAGTTTGTGTGTTTTTGACTTTTGAATACTCAGTTTACTTGTTGATTTAATTGTTGTGTTGATTGTTCTTGTGTGTCCTAAATATGGCTCTTTGGAGACCTTGGGAAAATGCTCCAAGCCACAAGGAGATGGTTGATGAACCTGTGCAGGCAGAATTCTTTCATAAAGATTTAGAGGAACAGACCCAAAGAGTAATCCTAAATATGTATGATTGTCTGAAAAACGAAAATCCAGATTCCTCGCAAAATCAAATTTTAAACAGAATTTGTATCCTGACAAAAATCAGTCGGTCTAGCATTTATCGGGTTATAAAAAGGGGAGATGTAGTCAACCATTCCTTCCACAGAAAGCGCATAGGGCAAAAATTAAAAAGAATATACGTGGGTTTTCAGGAAGATATTCGTCGTATAATATACGGATTTTATAAAGAAAATTTGGTGCCCACGTTGGAAATGATACGGGATAAATTAAAAGATTATCCTGAAGATTTTTATAATTACAAATGCTTAGACTCACTGCACTGTATTGTAAAACTGTGTGGTTTTCAATACAAACAATTAGATAAAAGAATGGTGATTATGGAGTCGTCTCGAATCGTTGAATTGCGCCAAGAATTTTTGCACAAAGTTAAAATCTATAGAGAGCAGAAAAGAAATCTGATTTACCTGGATGAAACGTGGTATGATACCCATGATGTTGTGCAGTACGGCTGGGTTGACGACAGCAACAAGTGCATTTTAAATGCACCATGCAACCGTGGAAAACGAATCATTATTCTCCATGCTGGCAGTGAAAATGGATTTATACCTAATGCCTTGCTGTTATCTGCCAAAAATGTCAAAGAATCATGTGCCGACTATATGAGGACATGACCTCCGACTTATTTGAAAAGTGGATAGAGCAGCAGTTAATACCAAACATTTCCCCAAATGCAGTGATTATTATGGACAATGCGCCATACCATTCCCGACAGATAAACAAAATTCCGAATACAGGCACAAAAAAAACAAGACATTATTGATTTTATGAAGGATAAGGGAATGGAAATACCACAAAAATCAACCAAAGCCATATTATTGGATCTTATTAAAAGACAAAAATTTGAAAAAGAGTATGTTGTTGACAATCTGCTTCAGCAAAATGGCCATGAAGTAATACGTCTACCTCCCTATTACTGGATTTTTAACCCGATTGAGTTGGTCTGGGCTGCTTTAAAAAAAAGTAAGAAAACATAATCAGACCCCTCAATTAAGTGAATCGCTGTTGGCCACAATAAGAGATGCAGTATCTCATATTGCTGCCACAGACCTAAGGAAGCAGTGTTCTAGGCATATTATTGAAAAAGAAAATGAATATTGTGTTTTGCCTCCTGTAAATCCCGTTGTAATTCCTCTACAAGATGACTCTAGCGACAGCTCCGAAGGCGAGGATGATATATAAATACCTATAATGTAAGTCTTTATATACCTTTTTATATGTATACCTACCTGCTATGTAAATATTTGCCTATGTCAAACGTTGGAATTCTGTAATTTTTCCATTTCTTAACTTTCAGTCAACATAAATTAAACTCCCAATATAAGTATTTTTTATCCCAAATCAAAAAAATAAGAAGATAGTAAAATCCATTTATTGTGATATAAAAACATTATTATTATCGTTCTAAATAAATGACCGCACGCCTATGATACGTCATGAAATTACAAAGGACGCGCCGACCAAAGGTTTTTATGATATTTCAAGTGACTTCAGATAAAGTATACTTTGAATTTCGAAACATTTTAAGCAGCATTTTTTGTTGATTACCTAAATTGCAACTTTGCCCCCATTTAAGGGACTTCGTATCTCTTACGGTTTCCGAGATCACAATGGTGAAACACCCTGTATAATGCAGCTCAGCAATGTGTAATGACATAAAAAGCACTAATAGTTCCATATAACTGCTTAAAATCTAAAATAAATCGCATTGATTTGATACGGGTCTAGCAACAAATTCACATAATTTCACTATGCTATAAATTAACCCACTCGAACCAACAAGCTGGCTGGTGTGTCCAGACGTTGCACAGAGAAGCCGCCTCCTTGGTTTTATGGCTTTTTAACGACCGTCGACAAAAAATGTGAACAGATACTTATAGTCTGTCGTGAAATATTCATGTTATAGATCAGGCAGATTAGACAACAAAGAAAAAAATTGGTCGATCGATCTAAATACATACCTCCAATGACCTAAACCAGAAAGCAATATTTTGTTAAGCGTTAAAATTATTCCTTATTTACCTTCAAAAAGTTATTCAAACTGTTCTGACACTTTGAGAGTTGGTCCATTGCGGTATCCAACAGAGATTTTAAATTTGGATATCGACACAACGCACCAACTCGTATGTCCTTTTCAATGTAGAGCAACACATGCTTAAAGTCCCTATCGATTCTGTCGAATCGCGTCTTTTCTTGTGCTAACGTCCCACTTGCAAATATTGGCTCCAAATAAAGCCTGAAACATTAAACAAATTTAAAAGAAATTTAAGAAAATTATTCGACATATCTTTTTTCCTACACTTCTTGACGAGAAAGCATTGTAGTCTCGAAAATTTTTTAAAATGAGGTATTATGGTTTTTGAGTATTATATATATATATATTTATATATGTGATCACATTATCGCCAGTCTTGATGTGGTATCGCTATTGAGTAATATCTATCTGGATGTATAGTCAACGCCAAACAAAGTGGCGTGCACGTCATCAAGGTGGGTGTGTTGAAAAATTTACATTGTTGCCAAACTTTTTGTAAAATAATAAAATTTATTATTTACATATCTAGGTTTATAAGCAATATTAACCTCAAATGAGAACAAAAATAATAGTATAATAAAATTATAGATCTGTACTTGCATAATCATTAAGTATGACAATTATTGATCAGATGACACTATGAAACTACCATATTTAATTGATAGCTTAAAGGTACTGAATAAAAATCCAAATGGGGTCCTCCAAATTTTATGCATGGTATTTATTTTACAGAATTCATACAGAAAAATGCATTCTAAAATTAGGTAAGCTACTGGTGTAAGCTTTTTCTGTACAATAAAGTTAGTCGGAGTTTCTTTCTTCAGCGCTGTCTGAATCAGAATCTTCATCACTCTCAAAGTTGATTATTAAAGGTTCGATGTCTGGTCGATCAAAAATTCGTTCTCTTTCATACCATTTAAAAATTTCTTGCTCAGTATGTCGAACACTATTTTTCCACATGTCTGGGGTAACCGTTTGTAGAGCCTCGTTCCACATATCCAAACAGTCTTTTTCACTGTTACCATCTCTACCAATATGTCTGTTATAGTAACCTTTTGCTATGCCCCAAATTAACTCAATAGGGTTAAATATACAATGGTAAGGAGGCAGACGAAGAACTTTGTGCCCATGTTGTTCCGCCAATTCACCAATCACGTATATTTTAGGTGGTTTGTTTCTAAAAAAGCAGTTATTTTAAGAATAGGAATAAACAAAAGAAATATAAGCTGTCGACCAAAATATATATAATTAAGAAGCATTATGTACCGAGCAACAATACTCAATAGCTCTGTTTTAAACATTGTGTTTAAAAATGGTATGTTTTGATTTGTCAACCAGTCTTGTATATTTTTTTTGTCCATGCACTGTTGGGCACTTTGTTCAATATCATGCTGTGATAAGGGGCGTTATCCAGTATAATCATAGATGGACTCTCCAATTTTTCTAATAACTGATGTTGAAACCATTTCAAAAAATTGTACTGGTTCATCTCTCCATGGTAATCGCTCAATTTTGTTTTCGAAGAAAATATCGCTTCACTACCCTCAATAAACCCATTTTCATTTCCAGCATGTAATATAATGTATCTAAAATATATTAGTTTTAAATTTTATAGTGCAAATTGTGTAAAAGTACATACCTTTTACCATCTGTTTTAATAGCTTTCACGCTTTTTGGTTTCCATTTTGCCAAGAGCGACCTATGGTCCCATTTTGAAATATCCAAGTTTCATCGAGGAAGACAAACTGGTATAAGGCCTCAACCTTGGCTTGATTGTATTGCCTTAAAAATTCCACCCTTTTCAAAGCTATACTTGGTAGTTCCATGAGCCCTCGTCGCGGATTGTCCTTAAGCCACTTAAATCCAAGATCTCTAAGCAACCGCCTTAAAGACGTGGCACTACCATCAAATAATGCCCTATCTCTTAATCGAGACCATAAAGTTTGTATCGTAACTTGTTCTTCTGAAACCAGGTGTAATATGACATTATAATTTAGTTAACAAATTAATGCAAATTTCTGATAAGTTATTATAATAAGATCTTACTTTTGTGGTACATATTATAGATCACTTCTCGAATGGCACTTGTATCCAATGTCGCTGTGTTGGTTACACGTTTAATATAACTCCGCTTTTTCTTGGGCGATTCTAAATTTGCATCACTTTTCACACCCTCGGAAATACGACTAACTGTCCTTAAACTAACTTTTAAAGCAGCAGCAACACGCTACAAAAAATGAAATAAAATTTCACTATTATTAATATACATTACATATAATTATTAGTAACCTACCTCTTGAACAGCATTTAAAGGCAACAAAGGCCCGTTGTTGTCCCTTTCTTGCTCAAAGTAGTGCATTAACGAGGCCACGAGTTCCTTACACCGACTATTTAACTGTTTGGGCATCTTTATATACCAAAATTGCCTTTATCTACTCGTAAAATGATTAATTTTGTTTTGAAACAAACAGTTGTTGATTTACAGTATGCGGGGCCAAAGGATTTATAAAGATTTGAAATGCCACAAATTGATTCAGTGTCAAAATTAATACAAATGTCAGTTCCCAGTTTAAATAAGTTTCAAGGTGACAATGTGTCAACGCTGCGAAATCGGTTTAGTGCGTTTACATGTCGATAAGTGATTGGAGCGTTTGCAAAACATTTTATTTCGCATAATGCGTCTAAATTTATCAGAAAGCAACTTATGTGATATTTTAATAACAATGTTTATATGACTATTAACCATAATAAGAGAGTAATGACCATTTTACAATTTATATATCACATTAATATGAAACTGCAAGAGAGCAATTGTTTGTGATAGAAACCTAGGCATTAGGTCGGGGAATTTTTATCGTGATGACGTGCACGCCACTTTGTTTGGCGTTGACTATATGTACTAGAACTTTAAATAGACACTGGGATGAAATAAGTCAACACTGCAACGTATCTCTAGAATCTTCCACCAACATTATAACATTTCTCATTCATAATAACTACTTCTCTTTCAACAACAAAATATATTCTCAGACACATGGTGTCCTATGGGATCTGTTCTATCACCAATTTTGGCAGAATATGTTATGGATGATCTGCTTCTTCCAGTATTTTACCAAATTCTAATAATCCAAGTAATATTCTCACAACTCCTAATAACAGAACTGATATAATTCCCAACAACAACACCAATTCCAATAACAATATAACCGCCATCCCAAATTCCAGACCTGGTTTTGCTATCCTACCCTTTATCAAAGAACTGACCCCTAAGATGATCAGACTATGTAGCCCGTTGAACTGTCGAATTGCTTGCAAATCCGTCCTCACTATTAACTGTATTTTTTCAAAGATGAAAGACAGAGCCCCGTTGCTTGGCTTAACCAACACTGTTTACTCTATCAATTGCTATAATTGCAACCAAATATACATATGTTAGGTCAGACTTCCAGATCTCTAAAAGGAAGGATTTCATCACACAAAAATTATTCTAGGCTTCATCCCGAGAGATGTGCTCTAGCATCTCATGCCAATACAGCAGGGCACTCTATGAACTACACAAGTACCAAAGTTCTTGATAAAGAAAAACACCTATCCAAACGTTTATTCCTGGAAATGTCCCACACCTCCATGAATGACAACTGTATGAATAAGATGACAGATGTAAAGCAACTGAGCGTCATTTACTCATATTTGCTAAACTCCGAAAAGTTGGAGCACTTACACATCTCTCCAACTTTTGACTTTTCACAACCATAAATGGAATCTGGTTCTTTGGTCTATTCCACCCTTTCCCTCCAAAATTTCCATTCCAATCAAATTTGAATAATTTTTTTCTCATAATAAAATCATAATTGTTTAATTCAATTGTCCATCTCATCAACAATATAGTTTGTTCAACTGCCTCTGGTCTGTTGACAAGTTCTTATGTAACATATCTTGATAAATCACACCATCTGAAGTGATTTGGCAACATAGCACACACCTTACAAACATTTCGTTCCATCCATCGACACTGACACCACCAACCTTCTGTCATCTGTCAAATGTTTCATCTTACTTATGATCCTGTGCTATACCATTTTGTGCAGCATCAGGTGGTTCACGATGTAATTTCAACTTTCGTTCTAAATATTTTTAATCCGTTTTAATTTGTTCCTGACATACAGCTGTGTGCATTTTATATTAATTTTAACGAATGTACCATGTATCCGGCTTTCACCAGTCTACTAAATGTTTTTAGCAACAATCTCACAAATCATTTTCACAATAGTTGCTATTTCTTCTCAATGTTATTGCAGCTCGTGATGAAGATGGCAAAGTCCATTGAAAGCTAGAGACTAATAGAGTATCAAGAGTCCTCAGTGCTTGAGTTTTGTCGAAGTACCCAACTAAAGGCGGAAGCTTTATTTTTTACCTAACTGGTCTAGACGACAATGACCACGTCTCAAGTTATATATATATATACATATATCATGAAAAATCATGACAACTTATGTCTGTCTGTCTCTCTCTCCGCTAATTCTAGGATTGGCTATAACTCGGGAAGTTCCGCTGGGATTTTAATGAAATTTTCACTGAAGATTACTACTATGCCAAGGACGAAAAAGCTTTGTAGTTTTTGTAAATCCATCCAGTGGTGGCGGATCTAAGGGTAGAAAAATGACAAATAAAATAAAAATCGCACAAAATTCGTTTTTCGACATTTCAGAGACTCCTGATCGTTTTCAACAAAATTTTTGTAGGGGTTCAACGATAACTCGCTGCGGCGGTGCCTGGTGGGCGCTGTTGCGCAGATGCGAAAAGGGACAACCTTGCCAGATAGACAGTAATTACCGGTGAAGCAGGGACATAATCTGTACAGACTACTTGTATGGGCCTGTTTGACTGACTTGATCTGTTTTATTTCAGCAGAGTCAACCTACTTGACGCTGTTTTTGACATACCATTTTCTCTGTACGTTCATCAATGATGTGATATATTGATCTAAGTCTCCAAGCTTGGTCTCCCACATATTTGCCTTATCGGCGAAAGATTCGTAATCCGCAGAAAATTTGATTGATTGCAAAAGACTTTGATGGTCGCCAATCTAAAAGAGAAAATGCGATTAAGTTTCCTTGCTTCATGCTGGTATAATTAGTATTCTCTCCAACTGTCGAATACCAAAATCAACATTGAATTTGTTTTATTAGTATAGGATACTTACCTTATTTAAGATAGTTTTATAGTCTTTCACCAAGGAAATCTGTTTGCCTGTAGAATCAACGTGAGGCGTTAAGGTAAACCTACACTGAACGTCCCATTGATCAAGTTCTGATAAAGCCTGTCTCACAATTATTTCACTGGCTGCTTTTTTCGAAATAACCTATGAGATCAAATATATGAGAAAAAATAAAGTAGTTACAATAGTTGGAGAAGAATCAGATTTTGAATAAAGGCAAGGTTTTACCTGTAGTTCCTTGCTTTTTTCGGCAAGTTTGTGGGATACTTCCAGAAAATCGTTCAACAGTAGTTGGTCAACCGGTTTGTACTCGATGTCGAGGAGGCTGAACGTATCCATCCAGTGTTTTTCTGAAAAATCGTCTCCTCTCACGTATTTTAAAAAAGGCGCCACCGTCTGAAAAATATTACAGACTTAAATTTTTGCAGTATCTGTATTCCAAATATAAATTGAAATCACCTCATACTTATCAACTTCTTGCAACAATCGCGTTACTAAAGCTGATTGCTCACAGTCACTCAATCGTTTGTTCCATTTCTTTACAAAATCTTCAAATAAAAATATTTTTTTTCTGAAGACTATCCAGTGTTGCTCCGATAACTCAGTTAACTCTAAAAATTGAGTCAATGTAATCAATATTTAATGAATTATTGAAATATACTAAGTGACATATAAATCCGAACACCCAGTTTAAATGGTTTTATTTTAATAAAACTTTGTATAAATACTTAATGAAGCATAATAAGTAAATGATAAAAATTTCAAAATGATTGCACTGCTTTAAAGCCCTTTGACCTTTAATAATGTGTGGATGCACCCTGATGTGCTACGCATTCTCCAACGCGCCTAGGCATGCTTCTGATCAGGTGGTCAATGTCCTCCTGTGGTATCTCATTCCAGGCAACCACCAACTCCTATCGAAGTGCTTCTAGAGTCTGAGGAGGACGTTGCAAATTGAGCAATCTCCTACCCATCATATCCCACACGTGCTCAATTGGGGATAAGTCGGGAGATCTTGGTGGCCATGGTAACAATGTGGCAAAGAAGTCTATTGTGACTCTTGCAACATGTGGTCGGGCATTATCTTGTTGGAAAGTTGGATCTGCCAGGGTGTCAAGATAGGGTAAAAGATGGGATTCTAGAACTTCGTGGATATAACGCTGCGCGTTCATGTTACCTCTGATGAAGATTAAAGGTGACCTGGAACCATAAGCTACAGCACCCCAAACCATAACTCCAACAGTGTGATGAACATGTCTTTCAACAAAAAACTGTGGATTCCTCCTTTCACCACGTCGCCTTCTAACCCTGGCACGACCATCGTGCATGCCTAAACAAAATCGAGACTCGTCACTAAAGACAATACTGTTCCATTCCTGATCCCAGAGTGACCGTTGTCTGCACCACTCAAGGCGATTACGTCGGTGTTCTCGAGTTAAAGGGAGGACCCAGTGTGGCCGGTATGAAAACAAGCCAAAACTTCTCATTCGTCGGTAAACACTTGGCATGCCAATAGGTCTTCCGTGTTCTGCAAACCATTCATTTGCAATGGACCTGGTAGTGGAGAAATGGTCCCTTAAGGCCAATAATCTTAGGCGGCGATCTTCACGGTCTGTTGTTCTACGGCGGCGTCCAGTGCCCCTTGCTCTTTGCGTACGGCCTTCTTGAAACCATGCCTGACAACACCTAACCACAGTGTCTACACTTCTTTGCACTCTAACTGCAATTGCCCGAAACGAAAGTCCATCTTCCCGAAGTCCCACTACACGGCCCCTATCAAACTCACTAAGTTGACGAAATCGTACAGGTCTCCGTACTCTAGGCATCGTAACCGATCGTAAAGGATGTCAAGAACCAAAATCCGCCAACGTTGATTCTTTACTGCGGCTGAAATATTCATTTTTAGAGCGTTAGTGAATTAAAAAAAAGCAGTATAAAAACCGGAATGTCCAACTGATAAAGCTGAAAATTTTTTCACTTGTTATTTACAGTAAGATAAATACATTCACCAACTTTTATTAAAATAAAGCCATTTAAACTGGGTGTTCGGATTTATATGTCACTTAGTATATGTTCCTACCTTTATGAAACTCTTCGAAAATGTTCCATGACTTTTCGTATTGGTTTATATCATTTTCAACTTCTTCTATCATCAGAAATTCCGGCTTTTGGATACCAAATTTATCAAAATCGTTCCTGTCAGAAAAAATAGAAATAGCGCCCAAAGTATGAAAATAAAGTATTTTGTCGAAATCTCAAACATTTCAGAACACTTACATGAGTTCTTCCTTCTTTAACAGAATAGCCTTCCATTCTATCTTTTTATTTCTGATACCCTCTAATTGTACGAGTAAATCTTTAATGCTATCATCGCTATAAGCTCCCGAGTGTGGTCTAGGCTTAACCTGCTCCCATTTTGCTACGAAATGTTCGAGTTCTTTTTCCATATTTTCTCTTCTTATGTTTAACGTCGTCCGTATCGTTTCCATCTAATGTATCAGAAAATTAACAACAATAATGCATCATGCAACAAACAAAAAGGTTCACGCTAGAAACATTGTGTTTGATTAAAATGATTTCTACTTGTACGTTTTATGAAGGTTTTATTAATATTTAGAGTGTTCTGTAATATAATAATCATTAATCTGGCTGTTCATTTACCTGTTTTTCAATAATATGCTGATGATTCTCCAACAAACTTTGCAGTCTATCCCAAGCACCTTTGATCCTATTTACCGATTCCACTTGTTCCTTTGTCCAACTTGCTAACGTTTTCGATTTCCTCATTAGTTCTTCAAAAGTATTTGCCATCTACGATTGTAATTTTTTTTTCATTTACGAGTGTCATTTTTTAAGCCAGAACAGTTTTGTATTGGAGTCATAGAAAGTTTATTTATGGATGTAAATTATATCACAAACTAAAATATGGACATTTTTTCATTTTTCAACATAGTCACTATAAACATTTAAACATTTGTCAAGTCCTGTCACCAGCTTTTGGATACCTTCGTCAAAGAACGATGTAATAATTTTTCAAGCAGATTAAAGTCTGATGGTGCTAAGTCAGGACTCTATGGTGGATGATCCACTAATTCCCGTCGAAACCTACTCAATTGCGTCTAAGTCCTTGCCGCAACCTGAAGCTGAGCGTTGTCGTGAAGCGAAACGACGCCTCTAAGGAACAGGCTTTTCCGGCGGTTTTGACTAGGAGAACAGTTGCCTAATTCAACCAGCTGCTGATGCATTTAAGCAGGAGGAACTTCTTTGCATTTGGAAACCGAATTACTAAGCGTACTTTACAATTTACTAATGACAAAAGAAGCAGTATAACAGCGCAAGCAACACCGACAGAGACGTGAAACGTAATGGCGGCATAGTGAAAGATTGGCCAGGAGTGTCTGAGGTTGGATGCCACGCGTCACGTTGCACGAGTGCAATGCGTAATAGGCTTTTATTTTAAACATGACCCTTGTACAGGGTGGCCCAACCATGTGTGGACGGAATATCGCTCATAAACAAATACATTTTGGGAAAATACATTTGAGGGCACATTTCTAAAATATTGGCCATTATACAGGGTGTCCCAATTTCGACCTACATATCAAAGTTGTGATTTTTCAAATAGAATACCTCAAATTTTATTGCATATTTGGATAAACCAAATCAAAAGACGAAAATTGATATGACATACTATGGGGTTTTGGTAATTAGCTACTGAGATATAAGGTGTTCTGTCTAGAAAAAAAACCCCACTTCGTCAACCTCTCAGTCCGCCATTTTGAAATTTGGAGTGCTGAATTTTGTATCAAAGAAAACCTACACACTCCAGCTTTTATCTTATTTGTTACTTTTTCAAATTTTAATGTTTGCTCACACAGGGTGGTCAAAAACGCAAATTGTAGTTTTTCTCAAAAATTTCAAATGCATCACCCTGTATATTTGTGCAAGTTTGGATTCACTTTTTTATAATCTTTTTTGATACTAGACACATAAAGGTTTTTACGGCTATTTTTTCGGATATTAGCACGTCTTTTATAGAACGGCTTAATTCGCTAAAATATCGCATCATCCTTGGAAACAAATAAATTGTTGATTAGTTAAAAACTGTCAAAATTAGCTTTGTGAGCATTATAATAAAAACGTGTTTGGAAATGATTTTTTCTAAAGAAGAAATGGTGAATATGGTGTTCGTTTTGGGCGAAGCCCAAAGAAAGTTTCCTAGCATCTCGCATTTATAAGCAACGGTACCCTAATATGCGACATCCAAGGCCGGAAACCTTTTCCACACAACGAGAACGTTTTGAATCAGGTGCAGCAGTGGAATATAGTAAGAGATGTATAAATAATCCAAGTGTCACCAGCTGGAGGTTCTATTAAAGTTGCAGGAAAATCCCCATTTAAGTGCACGGCAAATTGGAGCAGAAACTGATATATACAGAACTTCTGTCAAATCTGTACTCTTAGTGGCAATATGGAACTAGCCCACTGTTTGTCTTTTGTTTCCATGGATGATGGGTTTTTTGCCTTAATTTTGGTGTGTTGTTCTATTAAAAGCTCAATAACTTAAAATCTAGTGACTTTATCTGAATCAAACCTCATATCAAAAAAAGGCTCATAAAAAATTGAATCCACACTTGTACAAATATACAGGATGATGCATCTGAAATTTTTGAGAAAAATAACAATTCGCGTTTTTGACCACCCTGTACCAGCAAACATGAAGATTCGAAAAAGTAACAAATAAGACAAATGCTGAGGTATGTAAGTTTTTTTATACAAAATTCAGCTCTCCAAATTTCAAAATTGCGGATTGAGGGGTTGTCGAAGTGGACGGTTTTTCTGGACAAAACACCTTACATCTCGGTAGCTAATTACCAAAATCCCATAGTATGTTATATCAATCTTCTTCTTCTGAATTGGTTTATCCAAATATGCGATAAAATTTGAGGCATTCCACTTAAAAAATCACAACTTTGATATGTAGGTCAAAATTGGGACACCTTGTATAATTGACAATATTTTAGAAATGTGCCCTCAAATGTCATGTATATTACTAAAAATGTATTTGTTGATGAGTAATATTCCGTCCACACATGGATGGGCCACCCTGTATATAATGACTTTAGTGTATTTTTATCATAAATTTAATGATACGTCCTCGTATAGCTAATGAGTCCTTGGGTAGCGTGTACACTAGGCAACCAGAGTTACGCGATCGGGCGCAAGCGCTTGCCGGCTGGGTCGAGGTTCAAGAATAGTCGAGACATATCTAGAAGCATCTGCTGCCATCTTCCATGGGGGTTCGCGAAAACGCTGGAATGTGTCTTGGCTCGCCGATAGAGACGTAAATATCCGACCAGATGGCAAAGCGAGGGAGGCACAGTCGAGCCAGTAAACAGCGATCCCGGTATTGAGATGGAATAATAGTCCAGTCGACATAGTTATAAATTTGTTATAAATCAGTTGCAAGTGTTATAAATGGGACTTTTGACAATACGGTGTTTTCGATACAATAATAATTACAGCTACACCTTACTTATTTTCGACATGTTCTTTGCGATGCTTTTGTGACAACTTTTCCTGTGTATTATTATTACTAAATAGAATTTGATTCAACCCACCATTGGTGCTTCTTCTAGAATATTCTTATGAACAGCCCCAGATTCCCCGATTTCCTCGATGGTCAAAGGTTGTCTTGTTAGAGCTGACGTGGAATGATTGATGTAATCCTGAAGCTTTACTACGTCCTGAGCTATGGAATCTTTCAAAGAGTAGATCAGTTGATCCCAGTAGCTGCGATTATGCGACTCTAAATCCGATCTCAGTCGAGATAGACTGATGACGAAGCAACCCACTCGTTCTTCGGTACTTGAAAAATAAAATTGAAAATTTGAATATCATTTCAAAGAGATTTTGGCGCCATTTAACCTTGATCTATGCTACTTCTTTACGTACTAAAACGTCCAGAGTTTGGATAAGTCCTTAAAAAAAGGTGTATTATAAAGGTTCCCCAACAATTTTTTTTATAAAACTTCATACACTGAGAAAAGTGAAATCAAGTAGACTGAATCAGTCCTTTCCACGTATTGGTATAAACCTATTTGAACTTTAGGCACACGGAATTTTTTGGACCCTATTTCTTTGCGATTGAGATTTGATCAAAAATCTCTCCAAGAAATTTTAGTCTATTCCTAAAAATTATTAGAAACTAGAAAAATGAATTTTGTAGCCTGATGTGTAAAAACAAAAATCCAGGTACTTTCCAGTGTCCCATTTTAATCATTTGAATGTCATTTAAATGATTGTCTCCTTGGCGATTCAAGGTCATGAAGCTCAAATGGATATTGTCCCTCCCTTTTTTCACATCGGAATAGCAAATAGGAGCAAATTTTACGTCCTAGCATCACTTTTACCATGACCTTGCATTGCCTTCGCGGACACTTCAAGGTCAAATCAAGACACCGAAGACAACTTGGTCTAGCAAAAACGTTAGATAGCACAGTTTTGAGGTTTGTGGAAATAACTCAAAAATTATCTTGACCTTCATGGTCAAGTCAAAATCCCCAAAGGGAACCTCACTTCTTTATACTGTAAATGGAAAAAACAATGTGACCATGACCTCAAAGTGAACGACATGTCAGACGTGGATTTCATCTGAGTTTCATATTCGGTCAAGGTCAAGGTCATAGGCAAGGTCAGATTTGTGGGATCTCCACAAACCTCAAAACTGTGCTATCGAACATTTTTAGCAGAGCACCTTGATTTGACGTTCAACTGGTCTCAAAGGCAATGAAAAAGGGGTGTTTAAATATCCACTATCTTCAAGTGACTTTGAAGGTCGTAGTCAAGGCCAGTGCCAAGGTTTTGCCCTATCCATACCCTAGAGATTAAAATGGGACACCGTGTATAGAGGCCAAAGTCTATCAAAAAAATGATTAACTAGGGTTGACGATTTGAGATCGATTAATCCTAGAATCGATTTCTCGGTCCAAAAAAAATCGAAACTTTACCACAGAAAATCGAATTTTTTTCATGTTTTGATGAATACATTAAAATTATTTAAAGTTAGTTGAATGAACTCAAGCACATAAATGACAGTTTTTCACTTAAGTACTCAAAAGCCAGCGAGATGGCTGTATGCTTAGTTTCCTTCCCCTGTATTTAATATTCATAAAAGTCATACAAATTTTACGTTTGTAATCTTTGATTTGTTGTACTCGCTGATATTATGGAGATCGGTTATTTTGTTGCCTCTCTTCTTTTCTATAAAATAGACTAATATTTATATTGTGCAACCTCGATTTTTGAGGAAGCGACGTTTTAAGCCTCAATTCATCAGATTGCGATTCGGATCGACTTATGAATCGATCTTTTTCGAGAAGAATCGCCATCCCTAATAATATACAAGCAGGCAGACCGACGAGAAAAACAATTGCTGTGGGAAGTGAAACATCAAAAATATAAATAAGGGCGTTTATTGTACAGCAAGTGATTCGTTTTTAGTGTGCATAGTGTACCTGGACAACTTAGCAGTTTCTTGTCCGAAAGTTTTCGAAGCTCTAAAATGAATATCCCAATGTTGCCAGCTCGTCAATTTCGTTACGTCAAGTGATTCTAACTGGATCCAAGATTTCCAGTGTTCTATCACCTTCCTCAATTGATCAAAAAGCTCATTAGTGTGCTTTGACACATTTTTCAAAGCTTCGCCATTCCTAGAATATGTTGAAAAAGAATAAAGATAAAAAACTGAATCAAGTGACATAAGCATCATCATAAAAACTGTTGAATACTAAGTGACATATAAATCCGAACACCCAGTTTAAATGGTTTTATTTTAATAAAATTTTGTATAAGTACTTAATGAAGCATAATAAGTAAATGATAAAAATTTCAAAATGATTGCACTGCTTTAAAGCCCTTTGACCTTTAATAATGTGTGGATGCACCCTGATGTGCTACACATTCTCCAACGCGCCTAGGCATGCTTCTGATCAGGTGGTCAATGTCCTCCTGTGGTATCTCATTCCAGGCAACCACCAACTCCTCTTGAAGTGCTTCTAGAGTCTGAGGAGGACGTTGCAAATTGAGCAATCTCCTACCCATCATATTCCACACGTGCTCAATTGGGGATAAGTCGGGAGATCTTGGTGGCCATGGTAACAATGTGACATCATTATGTTGAAAGAAGTCTATTGTAACTCTTGCAACATGTGGTCGGGCATTATCTTGTTGGAAAGTTGGATCTGCCAGGGTGTCAAGATAGGGTAACAGATGGGGTTCTAGAACTTCGTGGATATAACGCTGCGCGTTCATGTTACCTCTGATGAAGATTAAAGGTGACCTGGAACGATAAGCTATAGCACCCCAAACCATAACTCCAACAGTGTGATGAACATGTCTTTCAACAAAAAACTGTGGATTCCTCCTTTCACCACGTCGCCTTCTAACCCTGGCACGACCATCGTGCATGCCTAAACAAAATCGAGACTCGTCACTAAAGATAATACTGTTCCATTCCTGATCCCAGAGTGACCGCTGTCTGCACCACTCAAGGCGATTACATCGGTGTTCTCGAGTTAAAGGGAGGACCCAGTGTGGCCGGTATGAAAACAAGCCAAAACTTCTCATTCGTCAGTACTCACTTCGCATACCAATAGGTCTTCCAGCCAAAACTTTTCATTCGTCGGTAAACACTTCGCATGCCAATAGGTCTTCCGTGTTCTGCAAACCATTCATTTGCAATGGACCTGGTAGTGGAGAAACGGTCCCTTAAGGCCAATAATCTTAGGCGGCGATCTTCACGGTCTGGCGTTCTACGGCGGCGTCCAGTGCCCCTTGCTCTTTGCGTACGGCCTTCTCGAAGCCATGCCTGACAACACCTAACCACAGTGTCTACACTTCTTTGCACTCTAACTGCAATTGCCCGAAAAGAAAGTCCAGCTTCCCGAAGTCCCACTATACGGCCCCTATCAAACTCACTAAGTTGACGAAATCGTACAGGTCTCCGTACTCTAGGCATCGTAACCGATCCTAAAGGATGTCAAGAACCAAAATCCGCCAACGTTGATCCTTTACTCCGGCTGAAATATTCATTTTTAGAGCGTTAGTGAATTAAAAAAAAGCAGTATAAAAACCGGAATGTCCAACTGATAAGGCTGAACAATTTTTCACTTGTTATTTACAGTAAGATAAATACATTCACCAACTTTTATTAAAATAAAACCATTTAAACTGGGTGTTCGGATTTATATGTCACACATAACGCCACGTAATACACGTTCAGTGCAAAAACATAGTCCGGGACTTTGGACACAATCGCAATGTCGGTTTTTCTGCTGAAAAAATACATTCTGATGCCTGGTAGTCAAATAAACACGTGGATATTTCTACAACCAATTTTCGATTATTGAAAAATAGTGGAACGAATAACTCTATGATTTTTCCACGACCGTCGATTTACGGCTCAGATGTAAACACATATTTTTGATGTGGGGTGAAATTGGGACGCTTCAGTAGGTGGCGCCATAGTAGTTGTTTGAAGCACATGTATCCAACTTATCATGGATCCCACAACGCATCCGTATTGTTAAAACGTTTACTTAAATAATGAGTCGATTGTTACAGGGTCGGGCCGTGGTCAAACTGTTCGTACTCCGGAAAATATCGAGAGAGTTCCCGAAAGTGTAGTGGAGCGCCCTGAGACGTCTACTAGACATCGTTCGCAAGAAACGGGTGTTCTTGACACGTCATCATGCACTATTTTTAAAAAAGACTTGCAATCGACGCCATACAAAATTCAGTTAACCCAAGAACTACAGTCCAGTGACCTTGAAAGTCGCCGCCAATACAGTCATGCAATATTGCATGTTAATACCCAAAATAACGATTTTTACCGACAACTGATAATGAGCGATGAAGCTCACTTCGATATGAACGGATTTGTTAATAGGCAGAATTGTCCTATCTAGGCATTAGAAAACCCTCCATCAAAGGCCACTACATCCTCGACGAGTCACAGTTTGGTGCGGTGTTTGGTATGGAGGTGCCATTGGACTACTTTTTTTAAGACGCTGCAGGTAATTCTTTTACTGTCACTGGCGAGCGCTACCGTGATATGGAGCAAAACCTTCTGGCTCCTTAAATCCAACAATTTAACCTGCCAAACATGTGGTTCCGGCAGCGTTTAATTTCTCGATTTGGTGATGTCAACTGGCCACCAAGGTCTGCGGACCTAACGGCTCCTAACTTTTTTATGGAGATTCTTGAAAAATAGGGTTTACGCCAACAGCCAAACACTGTAGAGCAGCTGAAGAACAATATTAGGGAAGCAATTGAAAATGTTCCTCCCGAAACCTACCAAAAACTGGTGGACAATAAAATCACGAAGGCTCATATTTGCGCGGCTTTTACAGGCCTACATTTATCTGATATTATTTTTCATACAAAATTTCTAAGTTCCAATAAAAGATTAAGATTTATAAATTGTACGTATTTTATTTCATTTCACAAATATTCAAGATACAAACCAGTCCGTTACATATTGGCCACCCTGTATAAATACTCCGTTATCGCAAGCTTGGGACACCCTGTATATCATGGAAACCCTACATCATGGGATTGTTAGGAGCCCATGACAACTTTTGATCAGGGTGCTCTGGAGAGCCTATTCCCCAAGTTTGAGAAAGATTCACCGGGGACTGATTTCTATACTAAGTGACATAAGTCCGAACGCCCAGTTTAAATGGTTTTATTTTAATAAAATTTTGTATAAGTACTTAATGAAGCATAATAAGTAAATGATAAAAATTTCAAAATGATTGCACTGCTTTAAAGACCTTTGACCTTTAATAATGTGTGGATGCACCCTGATGTGCTACGCATTCTCCAACGCGCCTAGGCATGCTTCTGATCAGGTGGTCGATTTCCTCTTGTAGTATCTCATTCCAGGCAACCACCAACTCCTCTCGAAGTGCTTCTAGAGTCTGAGGAGGACGTTGCAAATTGAGCAATCTCCTACCCATCATATCCCACACGTGCTCCTCAATTGGGGATAAGTCGGAAGATCTTGGTGGCCATGGTAACAATGTGACATCATTATGTTGAAAGAAGTCTATTGTGACTCTTGCAACATGTGGTCGGGCATTATCTTGTTGGAAAGTTGGATCTGCCAGTGTGTCAAAATAGGGTAAAAGATGGGGTTCTAGAACTTCGTGGATATAACGCTGCGCGTTCATGTTACCTCTGATGAAGATTAAAGGTGACCTGGAATCATAAGCTATAGCACCCCAAACCATAACTCCAACAGTGTGATGAACATGTCTTTCAACAAAAAACTGTGGATTCCTCCTTTCACCACGTCGCCTTCTAACCCTGGCACGACCATCGTGCATGCCTAAACAAAATCGAGACTCGTCACTAAAGATAATACTGTTCCATTCCTGATCCCAGAGTGACCGTTGTCTGCACCACTCAAGGCGATTACGTCGGTGTTCACGAGTTAAAGGGAGGACCCAGTGTGGCCGGTATGAAAACAAGTCAAAACTTCTCATTCATCGGTAAACACTTCGCATGCCAATAGTTCTTCCGTGTTCTGCAAACCATTCATTTGCAATGGAACTGGTAATGGAGAAACGGTCCTTTAAGGCCAATAATCTTAGGCGGCGATCTTCACGGTCTGTTGTTCTACGGCGGCGTCCAGTGCCCTTGCTCTTTGCGTACGGCCTTCTCGAAGCCATGCCTGACAACACCTAACCACAGTGTCTACACTTCTTTGCACTCTAACTGCAATTGCCCGAAAAGAAAGTCCAGCTTCCCGAAGTCCCACTATACGGCCCCTATCAAACTCACTAAGTTGACGAAATCTTACAGGTCCCCGTACTCTAGGCATCGTAACCGATCGTAAAGGATGTCAAGAACCAAAATCCGCCAATGTTGATTCTTTACTGCGGCTGAAATATTTATTTTTAGAGCGTTAGTGAATTAAAAAAAAAGCAGTATAAAAACCGAATGTCCAACTGATAAGGCTGAAAATTTTTTCACTTGTTATTTACAGTAAGATAAATACATTCACCAACTTTTATTAAAATAAAACCATTCAAACTGGGTGTTCGGTTTTATATGTCACTTAGTATATAACGTTTGAGCCTTTTTCTTTCCCCCCCCCCTCCCAAGGCATTCGCTTTTTCCCGAGTTTCACCTATGTACCTAAAAATATTAAAACATGCAAAATTAACAGATGTGACATGTTAGTGAGTCAGTATTCAAGTTTAACTTTGAATAAGCAGTAAAAATATAACTTATATGATTTTTTTTCTTAAGTTAACCCAATTTCCGGCAAAAACAACTTATTTAATTTCGACCTTTCGGAACTCAAATACTACATTCAGCTCAAAATAAGTAGCTTGAAACTCTTTTATTTGTCAGTGACACAGTTTTTATTGTATTGTAATCAGAATGAATAGTACTGTTGGCGCCATCTATTGGGGACCGCGCCAGGGACTCTTATTCGGTGCGAGACTGCTAACGCCATCTGTTGGAAACCGCGCCAGGAACTCTTATTCGAGATCGACGTGAAGTGACCTCGAATATTCTGGACTGCCGCTATGTGGCTCTCCGGAACCTTCTCGAATCAACGAGTACCTGCGATGCGGACTATATAAGTCGACGGCCGAGAGAGGGAAGCAGGTTAGAGTAGAGTTGAATGAATGGCGCGACACAATAATTCTTAAATGGGTAGTCGACATAAACAGTGGTGTATATAAATGTTTTATCTAGTCAAGTTAAAGTTAGTTGTGTTGTGTTTTAAATAAATTAGTGCATTCTTTTTGTGGAATCGAGTATTTTTAATCCGCACCCAAAAGAACCCAGAAAAACGCTAAAGTACGTTGAAAAATTGAAATTGTGAGACTCCATTTGACGGAAGTAGTAAAAATATTCACAGGTCGCACACCTTACCTTTCTGTTATTTCTTTAAACACTGTGTCATCATCAGATATGCCTCTGAAACTCAGCGGAGTATCTAAAAATCTCTTCAATTGCTGCTCATAGATATTTTTCAATTGTTCTTCAGGGGGTGAGTACTCCAAGTTCAAATTCCTGTATGTCAAATCAACGTAGATTTCCGGCAAATACAAATGCAAACTGTCCAAAGAATTTATGTACTGCTTTTCAAGAACCAAGGCAAGTTCTTTGTCTAGATATATTTTCCATTTTTGTAAGTTTTTGAAGCCTTTCCCTTCAACTTGGTTCAAAATATTGCGGATTTGTTTTGCTACGTCTTTCCATTTGCTATATTCTTTTATGAGATCTACTTCTCTTAAGCTGAAGATCTGAAACGGCATTGTATTAAAATTAATTTTCCAAATTAGTACTTTTCCCCCTGTATAATAAATAACTATTCTTCATACGTATTATAAATTGCGAATAAACTGATAAACACAAAAGGAAAATATTCTTGTGCGAGGATAACAATCTGTAGTCGAAATCACGACAGATGACGATTACGTCATCATTTTAGGTTGTAGTAAAGACAAACGACAGCGATTTGTGAATATTTTCAATGAAGTTTCAGATATGTTAGACAGAGACAAACAGAATTTTATCGTCTAAACAAACTGTATTGCTAATTTGCATGTATCCAACAGCGATAGACGATGTTTTCATGTTGCATGATCGATCACATTTGAAAGATGAATAGTTAGGTTATGTTAAAGCAGGTAAGGTTGTTTTCGAATAATACTTTGGTCTTTGGTGTTCCTGCCTACTCACAACTGTTTTTTTCAAAACAAAAACTCCTTACTGAAATTATTATTAAAGTATCACTCAAAACCATGAAATAAAATGAAAATAAAAATAATCAGTGAAATAACCTAACTTCGCAAAATCATAATATAAATTTGTTGCCATTATGTTCCTGACATCGTGATTTTATCATCGACGTACGTTCATTGATTACTTCAGTACAATGTATGGTATGACGTAATAGTCATCTTTCGTGATTTTGACTACAATACATAACACAGTAGTTACAATAAATTGATTTATAAGGATTAGACCTAGCTGACATTTGTGAAAAATGAGGAATGTGCAAACTAAACTGGACATACTGGCAAACCTAATGAAGATACGTCACTCGACTATCCCGATTTTGGAGGTGAACATTGAGAATCCACTTTCTTAATGACTTTCTTATTATTTTCGGACTGAACCGTATCAGTGCAAAATATGTGTCCAACATTTGTAATAAATAATAGTTTAAAAAACTTTGTTCGATCATCTACTACTAATATAAACTCTTTGTAATTAAAAATTATTTTCCACTTTTGGATCGGTTAGCTATAAAAGCGTGTTTTTTTAGTTTTTTTAACTATTATTTATTTTTCATTTTTTAGTCCGATTCATCAGTTAGTTTTTTTGTGCGCATGTGGTATTGAAATGTCTTACGAATCATTTCGTAATCTATCCATTTTATTCAAAGCTTCACTGTTGCATACGGTTGTTCCCGTTAACTTAGAGCAATCAAGTGTTTCAATCCGAATACCGTCTAAAGATCTTACACGATTAAGTGCTACAAAAGCTTGTCCAGCAGTAAACAGTCGCGAGCCTAGATAAATGACTGCATGATTGACTGTACAACCTCGCATCTTGTTGACGGTCGAAGACCAACTCAGAATTAATGACAACATTCGCATGAACTAGGTGAGAATGCAAAACCTTGAAAAAGTATCTGCCTCCGTTCTGCTGTGCCGAGTGTCCAAACCGACATAGAGTAAGTCCGAAACTGCACGCATGCGCAGGTCGCGGTCCTAATAAGGATAATGGAAAACTATTATCAAATTACTGCATTGTTATCGGTACTTGATACGTGTGCGAAGCTTCGGGTTAATCAAACT